GACGATTTTCTTTCTGCATAATCTCTGTGCCTTTATTTCTTTTTCGTGCCTTATTGAACTAGAGAAAACTTAGACTCACTAAATTGTCACATGGATGTAGAGTTTTCCATAGTATTCACCTTATTAATCTTTTAATGCCTGTGGGGTCTGTAGTGATAGTCCCTGATATTCCAGATATTGGTGATTTGTGTCTTTTCCCCCTTTTTTGTCAGTCTTACTAGATGTTTACCAGTTCTATTGATCTTTTCGAAAACCAGCCTTTGGTTTTGATTTTGTGTATTGTTTTCTGTTTTTAGTTTTATTGGTTTGTGCTCTTTATTATTTCCTTATGCTTGCTTTGGGTGTATTTTGCTCTTCTTTTTCTAGTTTCTTAAGGTGAAAGCTTAGATTATTGATTTAAGACCTTTGTTGTTTTCTAATATAAGCATTTAATCTTTTACATTTCCCCCAAAGCACTGCTTTAGCTGTATCCCACAAATTTTGATATGTTGTATTTTCATTTTGGTTCAGCTCAGAATGTTTTCTAATTTCTCTTGGGACCTCCTCTTTGCTCCATGGATTATTTAGAGGTGTGTTGTTTAATTTCCCAGCATTTGGAGATTTTTTTTTATCTTTGTTACTTATTTCTAGTTTAATTTCATTATGATCAGAGAACATTTTGTACGATGTACTTTCTTTTAAATTTGTTTAGAGTTGTTTATTGCCCTGGGTTATGGTTTATCTTGGTGAATGTTCCATTTTCACTCAAAAAGAATGTGCATTCTGCTGTTTTGGGGAGGATTGTTCTATAAATGTTAATTAAATATAGTAGTTTGATGTTTTGTTCTTATTGAACAAAATTCTCATTGCTGATTCTTGGTCAACTAATTCTATTACTGAAAGAGGAATGTTGAAATCTCTTAATTATAATTGTGGATTTGTCTATGTCTCCTATCAGTTCTATCACTTTTTGTTTTGTATATTTTAAAGCTTTTTTTTTTTTTTTAAAGATTTTATTTATTTTATTTTTCCCCCCAAAGCCCCAGTGGATAGTTGTGTGTTGTAGCTGCACATCCTTCTAGTTGCTGTATGTGGGACTCGGCCTCAGGATGAACGGAGAAGTGGTGCCTCGATGCGCACCCGGGATCTGAACCCGGGCCACCAGCATCGCAGCGCGCGCACTTAACCACCAAGCCACAGGGCCGGCCCCTATTTTAAAGCTTTGTTGTTAGGTGCCTGCACATATAGAATTATTGTATCTTCTTGGTGAATTGACCCTTTTATCAGTGGAGCATGTGAACTTAACCACTATGCTGCCGTGGGCCGGGCTGGCCCCGATATCTATCTTTTTAAATCTATTGAGACCTAATTTGTGGCCTAACATGTGGTCTATCCTGGACAATGTCCCATGTGCACTTGAGAAGAATGTGTATTCTGTTGTTGTTAGATAGAGTGTTCTGTGTATGTCTGTTAGATCTAGTTAGTTTATTGTGTTAAGTCCTCTATTTCCATACTTATCTTCTTTCTGGTTGTTCTATCGATTATCGTGAAAATTTTTTTTTTTTTTTTTTTGAGGAGCATTAGCCCTGAGCTAACATCCGATGTCAGTCGTCCTTTTTTCTGAGAATGATTGGCCCTGGGCTAACATCCGTGCCCATCTTCTTCTACTTTATTTGGGATGCCGCCACAGTATGGCTTTGACAAGTGCTGCATCATTTCGCATCCCGGATTCGAACCTATGAACCCTGGGCCGCTGAAGCAGAGCATGGGCACTTAACTGCTATGCCGCTGAGCTGGCCCCGTGAATGGGGTATTGAAGTCTCCAACTATTATTGTAGAACTGTCTATTTCTCCCTTCAATTCTATTAGATTTTGCTTCATATATTTTCATGATCTATCATTATATGTGTAAATGTTTGTAATTGTTATATGTTCTTGCTGTATTGACCTTTTATTAATATATAATATCTTTCTTTGTCTCTTACAGCGTTTTTTGATTTAGAGTCTTATTTTCTCTGATATTAGTATAGCCATTTCTACTCTCTGTTGGTTACTATTTACATGGAATATTTTTTTCCATCCCTTCTGTTTCAACCTGTTTGTGTCTTTGGATCTCAAGTGAGTCTCTTGTAGACAGCATATAGTTGGATCATGTGTTTTTATTCATTCTGCCATCTCTGTCTTTTGATTGGAGAGTTTAATCCATTTACGTTTAAAGTAATTACTGATAAGGAAGGACTTAACTTCTGTCATTGTGCTGTTTGTTTTCTATATGCCTTATAGCTTTTTTGACCCTCATTTCCTGCATTATTGTCTTCTTTTGTGTTTAGTTGATTGTTTCATAGTGAAATGTTTAAATTCCTTTCTTATTTCCTTTTATGTATATTCTATAGGTATTTTCTTTGTGGCTATCATGGGGGTTACATTTAACATCCTAAAGTTATAATACTCTAATTTGAATGTATACCAGCTTAATGTCAATGACAGACAAAGACTCTTCTCCTTTACAGCGCCATCTCACTCCCTTCAGTTGTTGATGTCACAAAATTACATCTTTATGTATTATGTGCCCAAAACCAAAAACTAAAAATTCCTTTAAATTATTATTTTAAATTTTTTTTATTTAAATTTTTATTTTTTACATGTTAATTATTTTAAATTATGTAGGAAACAAGATTGGGTGTTACAAACCAAAGTTACAGTAATACTAACTTTTACATTAATAATTGTTTTTTTTTTCTTTAAATGTATTAGTCTTTTAAATTGTGTAGAAAACAAAGTGCAGTTACATATCATTGTTACAGTAATACTAGATTTTGTACTCATGTTTTTACTTTTATTGAGATCTTTATTTCTCCATATAGCTTTGAGTTACTGTCTAGTGTTCTTTCATTTCCCCTTGTAGGACTCCCTTGAGTATTCCTGCAGGCCATGTCTAGTGGTCACGAACTCTCTCAGCTTTTGTTTACTGGGACTTTCTTAATTTCTCCCTAGCTTTTGAAGAATAGTTTTGCTGGATATAGGATTCTTGGTTGACAGATTTTGTCTTTTAGTACTTTGAGCGTATCTGCCCACTGTCTTCTGGCCTCCAAAGTTTCTCATGAGAAATCTACTGATAATCTTACTGAGGATCCTTTGTGTGTGACAATTCACTTCTATCTTGTTTTCAAGATTCTCTCTTTATCTTTGCCTTTGAAAGTTTGATTATGATGTGTCTCACTGTGGGTCTCTTTGAGCTCATCTTTCTTGGTGCTTCTTGGATGTTTATGTTTGTGTCTTGTATCATATTTGGGAAGTTTTCAGCCATTATTTCTTCAAATATTCTCCCTGCCCCTTTCTCTCTCTGTCTCATCCTTCTAGGATACGCCACAATGCATATGTTGGTCTTTTTGGTGGTGTACCACAGGTTCCTTTGTGTTTCTTGAATCTTTTCTTTTTCTTCCTCAGACTTGATAATTTCCATTGTCTATCTTTGAGTTTGCTGACTCTTTTTCTGCCTGCTCAAATCTGCCTTTGAATCCCTCTCATGAATTTTTCATTTTGGTTATTGTACTTTTCAATTCCAGAATCTCTTTTTGGTTCCATTTTAGGTTTTCTTTTTCTTTATTGAGCATTCCATTTTGTTCACACCAATGACTTTCTCCACATCTTCCTTTAGTTCTTTGAGCATCTTTAAGACAGTTGTTTTAAAGTCTTTGTCTAGTATAAATGCCATCAGTTCTTTTTCAGGGACAGTTTCTGTTGATGTATTTTTTCCCTTGAATGGGCCATACTTTCCTGTTTGTTTGTATGCCTTGTGATGTTTTTGTTGAACACTGGACGTTTGAATCTAACAGTGTGGTAACTGGAAATCAGATTCTTCCTCTTCTTAAGGCTTGCTGTTTTTTGTTTTTATTTTTATTTTTTTGATTATTATAGGCTGTTTCTATGCTGAAGATCAGCTTGAGGTATAAACTTAAGGTCTTCTCAGTTCTTTTCTGAGTCTTTCCCTGGGCTTGCACAGTCACTTTCTAATTTTCTTTGTATGCGCAGTTGTTTTTTAATGTCTTTGTCTTTAATGTCTTGCTTTCAAAAGGGGGAAAAGTGAAAAATGAAGGGGGAAAGGGGCACCAGCCTTTTAAATCCCCTGGAAGTCACTTCAGCTGAGAGTGAAGTGAGGGAGGGACTTGTAACCATGGGGAGAAGTGCAACAACAATGGCATCCCACCTCTTTCCACCTCTGTGATCAGAAACAGTCGTCATCAGTCAGAGCAGAGATCTCTGGTACTTGGAGGACAGGGTCCTTTTTGCCCACCGTGGCTCCTGTGTACTGTGTGCAGGCTGCTCCAGGAGCATGTGCACAGCTGCTTGCCACAAGCCGGCAGTGCGGGATGGGCAGCTGCTACTAGCAGCTGAAATTGACCAAAATTAACCAAAATTTACCATCCAAGTCTCCTCCCGGAAGTTGCAAGCCTTCAGCAGATTCCAGAGTTCCAAAATAGTTACAGCAGACGGATTCTGCCAGCGCAGTTGTTGTCTAGGTGGGACAGATTCCTGGTGCTTCCTACTCCACCATATTCCCAGAATTTTCAATTTAGATTTTTTTTTTTTTTAAGATTTTATTTATTTATTTTTTTCCCCCCAAAGCCCCAGTAGATAGTTGTATGTCATAGCTGCACACCCTTCTAGTTGCTGTATGTGGGATGCGGCCTCAGCATGGCCGGAGAAGCGGTGCGTCGGTGCGCGCCCAGGATCCGAACCCGGGGCCGCCAGCAGTGGAGCGCGTGCACTTAACCGCTAAGCCACGGGGCCGGCCCTCAATTTAGATTTTAAAGGGGTTCCTTCATTAATATAAAATAATTAGCTGAGGTAACTTATGTGACATTTAGCATAAAAACTACAAAGTTACTTGTTCTTTTTTCCATAATGATTTATACGGTCATTTTACATATATAGTATTGGTAAACTATAATTACTCACAATAGCTTTTTTTCTTTTGGTTTGTTTCTATGTGTGTTTTGTTGTTGGTTTTTTAATCTCAGCAAACTGGACAAAGGCGAAGTTGAGTGGGTTTTGAAAAATGTCTAAAGTTTAGTGGGCTGCATCCACCTTCTGTCATCTCCCCACCTTTTAGGAAAGAATAAATGGGATGTTTGAGAAGAAAGCTGTATTAAAAGAAGAGTGTTGCAAATGGCTTCAGATTCTGTGAATGCAAAACAAGCTAGGAATCACTTCACAAAGGGGAAAAGGCAACAGCACCAGCAAACAAAGAGCAGATCTCCCATTAGTGATGGTGATGGAGAAGACTCCTTTATCTTTGAAGCAAATGAAGCTTGGAAAGATTTTCATGGTTCACTTCTTCAGTTTTATGAAAATGGAGAACTCTGTGATGTCACACTAAAGGTGAGACTGTCTTTTTTTCTTACTTTTATCAACCTCTTCAGTGTATTATGAAAATGAAGGTTTCTGTAACCACACAAGGCAAATTTTTGGTGCTGTACTTATTATACTCAGAGTGATTTTAGTCTCAATCCTTTTTTATTGAAGGGGAAGGGACATAAGGGAGGATAAATAAAGGGAGATTAGCATATGATGAAATTGTTCTAATTAGATGTTGATACTCATTATTTCTTAGTTAATTTAACTTCTGAGAGTTCTGGAACTCTAAAACAAGTAGTTATTATTAATGAAATTAATAAATTGCTGTTGACCAGATAAGATTTTAACTTGTGAATTTAAGAATCTTGATGTGTTCACTTACTCTTGATTTGGTTAGAAGTCAGGAATTCTTGGTTGTTTACTCAGCTGCACTAGTGTTTTACTGTATGTTCCTATTCTGGTAATTTAATCTCTACTTCAATAGTACCGTCTGTTAAGTGAGATTGTCTTTACTTGATAGTGAAGTAGAGTCTGTTTAGACTTGGATGAAAAGTCATTAGTAAACTTTAAGTCTATGGTCTGTAGGATCATACTGTTCTGCTACAAAAGACAGTTTTAATGAAATTGGAAAAGTGATCAAAGTAGTGTGGAAGTACTGCATTCTAATTGTTTCTCATTACTAATTTAAAGTACTTTCTTATTACTATTGTCTCTCAGTGTAATGTTAAATTTTTTTTGTCATTCAGATGCATCCATGCAGCATTTTCCACAGAGATTTGCCACTTTGGGATCTCTTAGATTTTGCTTTCTGCTCGTAATCAGACAGGTTCTTAGAGCTCAGAGTCATAGAGATTGAGGGCATACTTGGAGATTCAGATCAGAGGACACTCAGCAAAATTCCAGAAACTGAAAGCCTAAGCTTTGAGTTTCAGGCCCAGAATGTCTGGGCGTATAGTGTTACACTGTAAATACATGACCTATATTCTCTTTACTTAAACTCTTGATGTCCTTATATATTTCTAGGACCTAAGATGCAGAAAACCATTATATAATTGTACTAGCTCTGTGTGAAGTTTAGCCGTGTATATGTTTTAATGAAGGAACACTTAAACTCTTTGATCTGTATGGTATATTATGTTTACTCTCATGCCATTGTTCTAATTTTTAACCCTAGTGTGAAATTCAGTAATCACACTGGCTTTGACAAAAATAAAAAATGTAAAATAGATTATTTGAATTTAATCAATTACCAATTCAGCATATCAATGTATGCATGGAAAATAATTAAATAGAATATTATTGATTTTATAAATTTTTTTTTTTAAGATTTTTATTTATTTATTTTTCCCCCCAAAGCCCCAGTAGATAGTTGTGTGTCATAGCTGCACATCCTTCTAGTTGCTGTATGTGGGACGCGGCCTCAGCATGGCCGGAGAAGCAGCGCGTCGGTGCGAGCCCGGGATCCGAACCCGGGTCGCCAGCAGTGGAGCGCGCTCACTTAACCACCAAGCCACGGGGCCGGCCCTGATTTTATAAATTTTATAATTTGATTTTAGAATAACTTTTACAAGCTACTGCATGTAAGCTTTCTTAAGTGAAAAATAAGGATACAGCCATTTTAGGGCAAATTATAACTAAACTCATAACTTCTTCGTTTATTGAATAATTTCAGCAATAGGTTGAAATGAAAACTTTAGAAGAATCTGTGGTGGAAGACTAAAATACTAGGTTTGAAGCAGTGACAGGTCATTTAGGAATGGATGTGAGGTTTAGAAACCTCACTAATTTGAAGGGACTTTCATTTTTATTTCCTCAACTATAAAATTACAACGATAATTATGTTTTTGTGAGGAATAAGTGAATTGATGCATGTAAAGTCCTTATGACAGTTAATGGTACATAATAAGTAATAAATATCAGCTATTAGGATCATTATGTGTACTACTATTGTCGTTCCAAGGGTATCAGATAATTCTACTATGGTATATTCTGTTCCTATTCATTAGAAAGAATTACAGCTTAATCTTTTAGCTGCTCTATTATTGGGTTTGTTTCTTAATTCTAATTCAACATTTCTTCAACTTTCAGAACTTTATTACAGCACAACTAAACCAAATAGTATTATGGATAATTTATAATGTTCTATTCAATATAAACTTTACATTTTTTTTTTTTTTTTTTAATGAGAGGAAAATCAGCCCTGAGCTAACATCCATGCCAATCCTCCTCTTTTTGCTGAGGAAGACTGGCCCTGAGCTAACATCCATGCCGGTCTTCTTCCACTTTATGTGGGATGCCGCCACAGCATGGCCTGATAAGCGGTGCCTCGGTGCGCACCCAGGATCCGAACCCAGGCCGCCAGCAGCAGAGCGTGCCCACCCAACTGCTACGCCACGGAGCCGGCCCCTAAACGTCACATTTTGTATTCATATAAGCTTGAGGATTATTCCTTGATATAAATTCATCTCCTTTTATAAGTATGTTTCCTTTGATCATTATCGCTTTTAGGACAAACACTTTAGAAAGTCAATTATCAAAATTTGTTTTATTGTTCATATCTAAGGCCATTAACCCATTTTTAAATTCCAAAGTGAGCACCTATATTAGAAACAGCAAATAAATTCATTTGGCGAATATTTACTAAGGTCTTATCCTAGTACATGGAGAGTGTAAGTAAATTTGAATAATATGCTGTACTTGCCTTGAAGGTATTTAAAATTTAGCCAGAGATAGGCACATAAACAGCTAACTATAATACAATTTAGTGATTGCCATTTTTGTGGTATGTTTATGGAAGCATGGGAGAGGATCTATTAATTATGTCTGAGAGGTGATTGGAAAGGTGATTGGCTTCACACAGAAGTTTATATATAGTCATGTGCTGCATAACAACGTTTCAGTCAACGACAGACCACATATACAGTGGTGGTCCCATAAAGCCTAAGGTGCAGTAGGTTATACCATCTAGGATTGTGTAAGTACACTCTATGATGTTCACACAACGATGAAATCGCCTAACGACACATTTCTTGGAATGGATCCCAGTCATTAAGGGACGCCTGACTGTATTATATTGAGAACATTTCAGGGAGTGGTAAAACTTGTTTTTATATTATAATGTTTATTTATTAGTGAAAATATTTTTAGACAGTATATCCAGTAGCAGCTCTAAAATTATATATGGGAGAAGCTTTGTAAGGGCAACAGTTTGGTTGGGGAAAGGGCAGGGGGAAATTGTCTTGAAGGGATCTTGCATAGCACTAATAATGCTTAGATTATGTTATACATCAACAAGAGTAGCATTTACAAAGATGCTTTTATTCATGCTTTATGTAGTTTGAGGAAATATCATTGTCTTTATTAAAGATCATGGTTAATTTTACTTGAAGAGGTTAATAGAGATTATTAGAGGTGGACAACCCCTTACATCACCTCTTGATGCCACCACTGAATATGTTTCATTCATATTATTTGGCTTTTTTTTTTGGAAAGTGCATGTTTCTGTGATTTTTTTTTTTAAACAAAGATTTATAGGATTCTAATAAATATTTTCGAGACTGTAAGTGTTATAATTATTTGCTGTCAAAACTTCCAGCTGACCAGGTGAAAATAAGTGCTCTGAAAGATTGCAGGGAAACAAAATATGTGAACTAAATTATTGTATTATACTTCCAAGAGGTAGAAATGATAAACTTATTACCCTTATAAAATGTAACAGTTAACTCCTGACTAGAAAGCAGACATAATCTAATAAAAGAAATGATAAAAGAGAAAGTGGTCCTATATTTAACACCTAAGCATTCAATGTTAAGAAGTCTAATAAAATAACAGTCACCTTTATATTCATCCATTCAACTAGTAAGTCAATATTGTGATTTTTTTTTTATGTTGCTCAGAAGAGGGGGTATTTAAACATTTATATCCCTAGATCCTTGTTTATTTGCCCCCCAAAATGCTATCTAAATTATTGTTTCCCTTCTGCAGGGGCTTTTTTGTTTGTTTCTTTCTTTTGAGGCAACATTTTTTTGTGTGTGTGAGGAAGACTGGCTCTGAGCTAACATCCATTGCCAGTCCTCCTCTTTTTGCTGAGGAGGATTAGCCCTGAGCTAACATGTGTGCCCATCTTCCTCTATTTTGTATGTGGGATGCTGCCACAGCATGGCTTAATGAGTGGTACATAGGTCTCTGCCCAGGATCCGAACCTGCAAACCCCGGGCCACTGAAGCGGAGCGCGTGGACTTAACCACTGTGCCACCCGGTCAGCCCCCATTGTGCAGGTTTTTTTAAATGAATGTAGTAAGATTAGTTAAGATTGTGTAACAGTGAATATGGCTAGACATTGTGACGTGGAAATTCACTACAAGCCAAGACATTGTCTTAAGTCATACATTTAACCCGTTCTTGACGTTGGCAGTAAACCTCTTTTTTTTGCTACTCAAACTGATTAAAATTGGTGGATTATTGAAAAGAGTAGCTTATTGAGTTAAAAGGGCAAAATTACAAGGGATTAAACTGAGAAGTTAGAAAACAGCATATAAATGTACATAAAAGGAAACTTGTGTGTATAGGGTTTCCCCTCCCGTCCTTATTTCTGTTCCACTGTGTGTCTTTGGCACTTTTATTTAAATGTAGTTCTCAAACAGTTAGTTTGAGTTACTGTTAAGTGGCATAATTATCAAAATTTCAACCTAATATACTTTAGTTTTTAATGATTTAAAAAAATTTTCAGTATGTTTGTAAATGATTTTAAACAATCTGTTAATGGATTATGCAATTAATACTTAGAAATGAAGTGAACCTATGTAAGAACAACTGGTTTGTAAAAGAATAGTTCACAGAGTAGCCAGATTTTTACAAAGTATTAAAAATAGCTAAGAACTAAAAATTAGGCGAATTAGAAAATTGTTCACTTGTTAACATATTGAATATTTAAAACGTGTTTATTGCTTTTGAAATTTTAATGAAGAGAGTATTCTCAGATATTGCTGATGCATATGTAAATTGGCTCATTGTTTCATGGACAGTTTGGTAGTATGTGTCAAGAGCTATAAAAAGCTTATTTTTTTGATTTATTAATTTTGCTTTTCAGATATTATCTCGAAATATTCTGAAATGCTGAAAAAACTTTCGGCTCTAAGATACTGTTTGTATTTAAAATATGGAAAAGTTATCTAAATAGCTGATATCAGAATAGTTAAATAAACTGTTACACCCACTGTATAGAATAGCATACAGCCAATAAATATGAAGGTTACAAAAGTTTTCAGAAACTTAGGAAAAGATGACAAAGTTTAGGACAATCTCAGTTATGTTTTAAAATGCATAGAAAAAAAGTTAGAAGGAAATATATCAACAGATTGACAGTATTTGTTGAATTGTGAGTAAATTTTTTTCCTTTTTATTTTTCTGTTCTTTCTTCATTTTACACGTTGAATATGTATTTTAGTCAGGAAGAAAAAAGAAAACTTGAAAAGTAAGTGACCTTTAATAGACGATAATAGGTTCCTTTTGTAAGTCAGAACTGACAGTTAATGGAATTTTTAATGTTCTTTGTTTAGTTAATTTTTTTTATGTCATTTTTAGTTCATTTTGCCTCATAATTCAGCAAAAGATCATTTATTGTTTTCAAACAGAGTTCTACTTAGTTTGTCATATAGTTTTTCTGGTTGGACCTAAATGTTGCATCAGCAATAAAGTTAAGGATACTTGACTTCCCCCTGTGCCCCTCCTGCTCCCACATCCCCTTGGAAAGTGAGGTGCTTTACCCATCTAAAAGCCTTCGTTTCATTGTATTTCCATCTTGTTGGTTAATCTGTGGAAAATTACTCAAGGTTTTGGTTAGTGGTTTGTATTTCAATCTTTTTTTTGATAAGGAATCATTTTATTAATATTGATATTCTACATCTTTTACTACTTCAGTTTAAGCTTGACATGTTTTTTTCCCTGAGCATCTTGATTTATTCACTTGTTCACTGATCCAATAAAAAAAGAATATAAATTAGAAAATTCAATAGTATCAAAAACATACTGTAGTATTTATGTAATTTTCAATTGTATAGTAATGTCTAATATTTTGTAGTCTGTGTATTTTTTGTCCAACTTTAAACATCTAGTATTTGGACTTTGATTTCTTTTATTCTAAATTTCTGATGAAATGTTTTTGGTAATAATTATTTTTATGTACCAGAGAAGAAAAGTGTAGAAATAAAACTTTCAAGAATATAATGAAACTGTATAGTGTCAAAGGAGAATTAATGCATAAAAAGCCAAATGTTTTGATGTTCCTATTTCATACATGTGGCTCAAAGTTAATTGGGTATTTATTCTAAAATGCTACATAGAGGTGTGATTGTGTGTGTGTGTGTTTTAAATATGCACATGTTGGTTTATTTGAATCAAGAAATTAAAATAGAGTTATGGAGAGACAGAGCCTTATTATAAACAGCATGAAAATAACTTGCAAGCCGTTGATTTGTACAGCTTGGATGAGAAGGCAGTGTTAAAATAATGTTTATCTGGAAATTGTAGAACCCTATTTTATAGTTCTATTATGTAATAAGTGTTGGCAATTTGTTTAATTGAGCAGGTTTATGTCTTTTGAGATTTACAAGTATTTGCATAGAGACTAAATCTCAGTGGTGGCATGTACAGACAATCCAAAAAAAGGATATTTTTAGGCTGTTTTAAAAATGTTCAGTATCAGATTTCAGATCCCATTTTAGGACTGAAGTGAATTTGAAAACATGCCAAGCTTCCTGCTTTAGTCTAGGTTACAACTTGAGTCTCAGCAGAATCTAAGTCCTGCCTTGTGAATTCTTTTAAAAAATTAAATATAGTATAACTGACAGAAATCACCATCTTGTACTTGTTGAAATAAATGACATTCTTTCTCTATATTAGTGAAAAAAAGTTGGGTGAGGTGCATTTATAAGCAAAACCATTTATACATCATAACATTCTTCTGGCCTTTTTCTTTAGAAGTTTTTATTTTAAAATTAGTTCCCAAATAGACACAACTATAAGTATATTATATAATCAGGAAAACAGGAAAATTGCTAAAACACTATTATCCTATTACTTGTACTCATTGATTATTTAAAGTACTGGGAAAACTATATAACTACTATGTTAAAAAGACGATAGCTGTCTACTCAGTATCAAAAACTTCCAGATGGAAATAAAGATTTAAGTGTAAAACATAAAACCATAAAAGTACTAGAAAAAATACCTCAAGTAAATATTTATGGAATATTAGAATGATTCCCATTTCAAGCATAGCACCTAAGGCAGAAATCATAAAGGAAAAGCTTGATTTGATTATATAAAAATCTATAGGGGGTGAATAAAACTTAAAAGCACACTATAAAATAGGGAAAAGTTTGAAATATATATTGAAATATATATATGACAAATGACTAATACTTTAAATATATGAGGAGTTCTTACAAATAAATGAGAAAAAAGTCATAGAATAAAGTTCGTAGGAGAAATACAAATAGCCCAAAGTTTATGAATGATTTAAATCATAGTAGTAAAAGATAAACTAAAACAATGAGATATTTTCATACATCAAATTGGCAAATATTTCTTAAGTTAACACTCAAAATATGGCACAAATATTGTAGGTAGATCAGAAATGGACAGTTTATTGGCATGCATCCAAACCGTACCTATCCTTTGAAGCAGCGTGTCTATTTTTAGGAATTTATCTGTAGGAAATAATAGAGAACGTGAACACTGATTCAGTTACAACAAAGTTCACTACTATGTCCTTTGTAATGGCAACCTATTGTAAGCAATCTAATTTTTCAACAATCAAGGTGGTAAGATTTCAGTGTTTTTTATCACTTTTATATAAAATATATCATTTCAAAATAAATAGGAAATGAAAAAAACCTCAGGTAAATTCATAGTAAATACTGATTTATTTACTCTGTGCTTCAATTTTTGTCACTGATAAATTGTGGAGAATAATAGTACCTATTCATAGGGACCTTGGGACAATTAAATGAGTTAATATATGAAAAGCACTTGGAATAGTGCCTGACATGATGACTATAGTTAACAATACTGTAGTGTATATTTGAAAGTTGCTAAGAAAGTAGATCTTAAAAGTTCTCATCTCAAGGAAAGAAAAAATATTTGTAATTATGTGAGGTGATGGATATTTACTAAACTTATTGTGGCAATCATTTTGCAATGTATACATATATCAAATCATTATGTTATATACCTTAAACTTATACAATGTTATATGTCAATTATATCAGTAAAACTGGAAGAAAATATTTAAAAAAAGGAAGAAGAAAGGACTCATGGACCAAAACAAAAAAAGAATAGTGCCTGACACATAGTAAGTGCTTAGATGATGTTTGCTGCTATTCTCATTAATTCACAGAATGCTTCTGAAATGTAAGATGATATAGAAAAATCATAATTTACTATATATACATTATAGATGCATGGGTAAAGGATAAGTAGCTAATTTGGAAGAAGAAAATTGCCTGACTTTAAGAAATTGGCCTAGATTGCAAGTAAGTGACCCAAGGATTACAGTGTTAAAACAAATACACTCGGGCCGGCCCCGTGGCTTAGTGGTTAAGTGAGCGCGCTCCACTGCTGGCGACCCGGGTTCGGATCCCGGGCTCCCACCGGCGCGCTGCTTCTCCGGCCATGCTGAGGCCGCGTCCCACATACAGCAACTAGAAGGATGTGCAGCTATGACACACAACTATCTACTGGGGCTTTGGGGGGAAAAAATAAATAAAAATAAAATCTTTAAAAAAAAAAAATACACTAAATTTGTCTGGAATTTTTATCCCAGCTACAATACATGCTCCATGCTGATCTAAAACTGATTTTGTTATTAAACTGCGTCTCTTTTTATTTGTTTTGAACAGGTTGGCTCAAAGCTAATCTCTTGTCACAAACTGGTATTGGCTTGTGTTATTCCCTACTTCAGAGCCATGTTTCTCTCTGAAATGGCTGAAGCCAAGCAAACACTGATTGAGATCAGAGATTTTGATGGTGATGCAATAGAAGACTTGGTCAAGTTTGTCTATTCTTCACGGCTCACTTTGACTGTTGACAACGTGCAGCCTCTCTTGTATGCAGCCTGTATTCTACAAGTTGAACTGGTGGCTAGAGCTTGTTGTGAATACATGAAGTTACATTTTCATCCCTCCAATTGCCTGGCAGTAAGAGCCTTTGCAGAAAGTCACAATCGAATAGACTTAATGGACATGGCGGATCAGTATGCCTGTGAGCATTTTACTGAAGTAGTGGAGTGTGAGGACTTTGTAAGTGTGTCACCCCAGCATCTCCATAAGCTTTTGTCCTCTAGTGATCTAAATATTGAGAATGAAAAGCAGGTCTATAGTGCAGCCATCAAGTGGCTTCTTGCCAATCCTCAGCATCATTCCAAATGGTTGGATGAAACACTTGCACAGGTAGGAACTGAAATAAGATTGTGTATAGAAATGAAATGATATGAAAGCAAATCAACATGCTTTATCATGAAAAGCATAGATTATCCATTGATGTACTACAGTGTGAAAATGGCTTTGATTCTTACGTTCGTATTTACTCACTATACTATTTAAGGATAAGTGTGAATTTGTTACATTTGAATTACAAATGTCATTCTCTGCTTTTTTTTTCTTTCTTTCTTTTTTTTTTTTTTGGTGAGGAAGATTAGCCCTGAGCTAACATCTGTTGCCAATCCTCCTCTTTTTGCTGAGCAAGATTGGCCCTGGGCTAACATCCGTGCCCATCTTCCTGTACTTTATACATGGGACGCCTGCCACAGCATGGCTTGATAAGCAGTGTCCGGGCTTATCCACGTCTGGGATCCAAACCTGCAAACCCTGGGCTGCTGAAGTGGAGTGCGCTAACTCAACCACTACGCCACCAGGCCAGCCCCTCATTCTCTGCTATTTAACCTGAATGTTTAAAATATCCCTTTGAGATAGTAATAGTGAATATTTGATTTATGCTGATAGGAAATGGTTCTGAGGAAACAGCTCTAAATTAATTTTATTTTATTTATTTATTTTTTTTTGGTGAAGAAGACTGGCCCTGAGCTAACATCTGTGCCAGTCTTCCTCTATTTTGTATGTGGGTCGCTGCTACAGCATGGCTTGATGAGTGGTGTAGGTCCATGCCCAGGATCCAAACCCTCGAACCCAGGCCCCCAAAGCAGAGTGCACCAAACTTAACCACTATGCCACCAGGCCGGCCCCTCTAAATTAATTTTTAACTATTGTTTTATAATGAAGTTTGAATTTTACTGAATTACTTTGCTAATGAGAGTACATTTATTACTAATGCATATAGATTTATTCTGGATAGAACTACAAGACATCACTTGCCAGTTTCTTCACTCACCACAGTTTTACTTTTATAGCCTCAGAAATGTGTCTCTTTTTAAAGTATTTATTTATTTTTACAGTCAAGAGGGGTTACTTGGATAGGGAAGTAATAAATAAGCCTTAGAGTTACTTTGAAAATAAATTTGTCGGGCCGGCCCCATGGCTTAGCGGTTAAGTGTGTGCGTTCCGATGCTGGCGGCCCGGGTTCGTATCCTGGGCGCGCACCGACACACCGCTTTTCCAGCCATGCTGAGGCCGCGTCCCACATACAGCAACTAGAAGGATGTGCAGCTATGACATACAACTATCTACTGGGGCTTTGGGGGGAAAAAAGAAAAAAAAAGAAAAGAAAAGAAATTTGTCAACAAAAACAAGCAAAAAGTTTCATTATCTTGCAGCTATATCTTATTTGTATGTATGTGTGTGCTTTTAACTCAAGATCATATTACCTGGTTTGATCATCTCTTTAATCCACTAGAAAATCAATACGTCTTTAAGAGAAGAATGGTGAGTGCCTCTACAGAAAGAGGGGATAATCTCTGAGTTAGTAAATAACTTTCCAAGATGATTTTTTTTTTTTTTTTTTTTGAGGAAGATCAGCCATGAGATGCTAATCCTTCTGTTTTTTTGCTGAGGAAGACTGGCCCTGAGCTAACATCTATTGCCAATCCTCTTCCTTTTTTTTCCCTTTTTCTCCCCAAGGCCCCAGTAGATAGTTGTATGTCATAGCTGCACATCCTTCTAGTTGCTGTATGTGGGACGCGGCCTCAGCATGGCCGGAGAAGCGGTGCGTCGGTGCGCGCCCGGGATCCGAACCCGGGCCGCCAGTAGTGGAGCGTGCACACTTAACCGCTAAGCCACAGGGCCGGCCCCTCCAAGGTGATTGATTTGAAGAAAACAACACCTCTTTGTTTCAGATACGAAGGTCTGCTTGTTCAAGTAAGAAATAAATCACATTTCCGTATGTTCAGTCTTAGCTTTAAAAGACAAAAGAATAAAGCACAGCAGTGTTGCTTTGACGGTGCCTCTTCTTTAGCAGTGAGGGGCCTTGTGATTGTGACAGTACAATTTTTGGAAGTGAATAGGTAACTTGAATAAAGAAAATTGAATTATTTTATCCAGTCTACTTAAATCTGTGTTTAAAAGAGGAAGATATATTTAACGTATAATCTGATTTCATTAGTGCAGGCCAATACTAGAAATCGCTTTAGAACCTGGCGCATTAAACTTCATTCACATGTCAGAAAGGCTTTATGAAGTAAACGAGTTTTAAAATGAGAACATACTGCAGTGAAGTAGAGAATGAGCTATCCAGTTACAACTTAAATTTTATATCTGCCAACTATTCATGATCTTAGGTTCGTTTGCCGCTGTTGCCAGTTGATTTTCTTATGGGTGTTGTGGCAAAAGAACAGATTGTCAAGCAAAATCTAAAATGTAGAGATTTATTGGATGAAGCAAGAAATTACCACCTTCACTTGAGCAGCAGAGCAGTACCTGACTTTGAATACTCCATTCGGACTACTCCAAGGAAGCATACTGCTGGTAATTAAATTACTCATTTTATCAACTCTGCTGGAAGGATCTTTGATGTATTTGAGAGTTGGTTATATATGCTCAACCTTAATTGTAAAATGATTGGTATTTGTCTTAAAGTAATAACTGGCAAATAAAGTTATATATGAATTCTTACTATACATGATTCAGATAGTTTTACCAATAGCAACTTTTAAAAAAGCTACAAGTCCTGTATACTCTGAAGAGCCTGCTGAAATATCTCTTCTTCTGAGGTCTTCCTGATTCTTCTAGGCAGAATTAGTTCCTCTGTGATTTGTGCTTTTAGAACACTTTGTTTGCACTGGTTCTATTTTACTATGTTGCACTGAAATTTATTTATTTAGCATGTTTTGTGTACTTCAAAGGCAGGAAAGTATCTTATTTAGGTTTGTGTCCCTAGTGCCAAGCATGGAGCTTGACACGTATTACGTGTTTAAATATTTGTTTTTGCATTTTATCAAATAAAAAGAAAGGCACTAAATATATCTAACATTTTGTAACAGATCACATTAGACTCTTAGAATCTAAAGCTCTTATATTTGAGGAGGCATGCAGTTTTGCCTTTATTTGCCACAATTTTCAGACTCTATATTTTCCCAAGAAAATAGTTCATGTTCACTTATGTTACTCTTTATAAATATAAGGAATATATTTGAGGGATGAGGGAAAAGAAATGAGGTCTAGGAATTCGGGAATCGGTACTCTGGACAGTGACTTCCTCTACATTTGCTGCTACTTAATATAGTTATCAAATAAAGGGATCTATGGAATTGCCTAACTAAAACAAGAACAAAAGACAATACCTGATTATGAATAGTCATATAGTCATTTTATATGAATATATGAATCCATATAAAATATGGATTTTATCTAGGTAGTATAAAGAAAGTTTGAATGTCATAGATCTGCCTATGAAGAAGTAGTTCTTATAAATAATTAGTTTAACATGAAAAGGACTACTTATTTATTTTCCTTTTTTTTTGGTGAGGAAGATTAGCCCTGAGCTAATATCCCTTGCCAATCCTCCTCTTTTTGCTGAGAAAGATGGGCCCTGGGCTAACATCCATGCCTATCCTCCTCTACTTTATACGTGAGACACTTGCTACAGCATGGCTTGATAAGCGGTGCGTAGGTCCACGCCCAAGATCCAAACCTGTGAACCCTGGGCCGCCAAAGTGGAGTGCACGAACTTAACCACTATGCCACTGGGCCGGCCCCAAGAATTAAATTTCTTTTCCTTTTTTTTTTTTTTTTTTTTTTTTTTTTTATGAGGAAGATCAGCCCTGAGCTAATATCCATGCTAATCCTCCTCTTTTTGCTGAGGAAGACCAGCTCTGAGCTAACATCTATCACCAATCCTCCTCCTTTTTTTTCTTTTACCCAAAGCCCCAGTAGATAGTTGTATGTCGTAGTTGCACATCCTTCTAGTTGCTGTATGTGGGACGCAGCCTCAGCATGCCCAGAGAAGCGGTGCGTCAGTGCGTGCCTGGGATCCGAACCCAGGCCACCGGTAGCGGAGCGAGAGCATTTAACCGATAAGCCACAGGGCTGGCCCCAGAATTAAATTTCTTTGAAGTGTAGATTTTTTAAATTTGTGAATTCTGTTTCAAGAAATAAAGGTATTTAATGCAATTCTTCTTTAGATTCAGATTTGAAACCAAACGACATCTTGGCAGTCTAGGTTATATGCCAAACATAAACTAGACCCTCATATACATGATCTCTTGCGTGATTGCAAGAACTTTATGAGGTAGGTTTTAGTGAGAATTTGCTCCTCGTTATGAGATAGATGGTGTTTTCCATTTTATAGATGAAGAGACTAAGAACCAGAGAGGGTAAAAGTATGCCCGAGTCCACACGGAGAAATAACAGAGAAAGGATTTGCATTCTGATCTTTTTACTTCATTTTTAGTTTTTTTCTCTTCCATGTCATGTTCCTACATGAGCCATATAGCTCAATTACTAGTTTCCACTTAAAGAAAATCTAATCAATGATTGGGATTATGTTCTGGGATTATAATTCCAGCTGTGCCATTAAACATCTGTAATTTAGGGGCAATTTCTTTTTTTTTTTTTTTAATTTTTTGTTTATTGTAGTAACATTGGTTTATAACATTGTATAAATTTCAGGTGTGCATCATTATACTTCTATTTCTGCATAGATTACATCATGTTCACCACCCAAATACTAATTACAACCCATCACCATACACATGTTAGGGGCAATTTCTTAATCTCTGAAGGCCTCCGTTTATTTATAAACAGTTTTGACTGCATGATCTTGTAAGTCGCCTCCACCTTTAAATTTCTATGACTTAAAATATTGGATTAGTTGGAAAAGATAGCACAAGTGATTCTGGTCATTCATTTATGCAATCATTCAGCAAACATTTGTTAATTGCCTACTGTGTGCCAGGTTCTGGGTTAAGCATTAGAAATGCAAACACAAATAGAATATAGCTAGCCCTATTTTGAGAGAACTTATAGTCTGATCTAGGGAAATAGACATGTAAATGAATAAATGCAGTAAAGTATTACAAGTACTTTGATATAATCACAAGGTATAGTGGGAAGCACAAAGAAAAGAGTGGTCATTTTTACCTTGGAAGGGTGAGAAAAGGTTTTATAGAGAAAGTAAACCTCAGTCTTAGTTTTGAGTAATAAATAAATGTTTTTCTGGGTGCCAATTAGAGAAAGGGGTATTCAGTTCATTTTCCATTTATTGAAGGCCTAGTACGTGCTGGGCACTGTGCTAGTCCTTATTAGTGCATAAATGCTTAACACACAATCTTAACCTAGCTTAGGCTCCAGAGACAGATATCAGCATAGATCGTTTCAATAATCGTGTATTAAGTGAATGATAGTTACCTAAAGTTGCTGTGGGAACATCGAGGAGGAACACTATATGCATGTTGTTTAAGAACATGAAGTTTAAGAGAAGGAGAGGGAGAAGACGAAGTGAGATACTGCAAAGCCTCTATGCTGTGCTAAGGCTTTATCTTGTAAGGCAGTGGTTCTCATAATGTAAAGGAAATGGTGGCCTCTGGACCAGCAGCATCAGCATTCACTTGGGAACTTGTTAGAAAAACAAACTCTTGGACCTACCCTAAACCTACTAAATCAGAAACTCTTGGGGTCAGGCCCAGCATTCTGTGTTTTATGCCCTCCCAGTGATTCTGAACCACACTAAAGTTTTGATTTTTATTTATTTATTTTTTTGCTGAGGAAGGTTCGCCCTGAGCTAACATCTGTTGCCAATCTTCCTCTTTTTTGCTTGAGGAAGGTTAGCCTTGAGCTAACATCCATGCCAACTATTTTGTATGTGGGTCACCACCACAGCATGGCTGACAAGTGGTGTAGGTCCGTGCGTGGGATTCAAACCCACGAACCTGGGCCACGAAAGCAGAGCACGCCAAACTTAACCACCAGGCCATGGAGCTGGCCCCAAGTTTTCATTTTTTTTTTAAATTGCAGTAAAATATTTATAACATAAAACTTGCCATTTTAACCTTTTTTTTTTTTTTTTTTTTTTGTGGGGAAGATCAGCCCTGAGCTAACATCTGATGCCAATCCTCCTCTTTTTTTGCGGAGGAAGCTTGGCCCTGAACTAACATCCGTCCCCATTGTCCTCTACTTTATATGGGACGCTGCCACAGCATGGCTTGACAAGTGGTGCGTCGGTGCATACCCGGGGTGCATACCCGGGATCCGAACCCATGAACCCTGGGCTGCCAAAGCGTAGTGTGTGCACTTAACCGCTTGCGCCACCGGGCCGACCCTATTTTAACCATTTTTAAATGTATGATTTAGTGGTATTCACTAAAATTTTTAAGAACTACTTATGTAGGTAATGAAAAACTGTTGAAAGAGCCTGTAAATTAGATTACTCTGTTGACAGTCTGAAAGCAAAAAGACTACCAAATGATAAGACAGGACAGGATTTTGCAGGAGTTGGGTAATAGCTGATGAAGGCCTGAACTAAGACAGTGGCAGCAGGAGGAATAGTGAGGGGGAGGAAGGACACGTAAGGGAAGGAAGAGGTTGTTTAGGTAGGTGAGAAAGGGAGATGCTTTTGAACATGTTGGATTTGAGGTGCCTGTGGGGTACATCAAGTGGAAATTGTGGCTTAGAAATGTAGATTGAAAGGCATTATGATACAGATGGACTTTAAAATAAAGGAATGAACGAACTTTTCCTGTGTAATCATGAAGTATGTGAGAAGTAGGCTAAGGATGAAACATGGAAAACACATGAAAGAGAGATGATCGGAGACAAAAGGAGACTTTGATATTATGGAAATCAAGAGAGTTAAGGAGTTTCCCAAAAAACAGAGTGATCAACATGTCAAATGTTGTGGTTGTGTTAAAAAATAAATCAATTTAAGAGTTTATTGGATTTTGTTATGACCTTAGCAAGAGCAATTTTACAGAGTGGGTGAGGATTTAAACCATATATTATAATGGGATATTAGCAAGCAGAGATAGCTGATGTATCCTATTCTTTGAGAAATTTAAATGAGGGGAAAAAGAAGAGAATTAGATTTCTAGTAACACAGTGACATTGAATGCTATCCAAATAACTCATTTTTTTTTTTTGCTGTTAATATTTTTATTTCTTAAATATTTTTTCCTTACTAATTCAAAAAAAATTAGGGAACTGTGATTTTGACCCCTATTTTGTGGCTTTACCTTTAGGTGTGCTGTTTTGTGTAGGTGGTCGAGGTGGATCTGGTGACCCCTTTCGCAGTATTGAATGCTATTCTATCAACAAAAACAGTTGGTTCTTTGGACCAGAAATGAATAGTCGAAGGCGACATGTGGGTGTAATCTCTGTGGAAGGTGGGTCCATTATTGTCTTAAATCATTTTATGTGATCATAATGCTCTTTTTAAATATCTGAACTTTGAGAATTTTCTTTCTATAAGAAAACTGCTAAATTATAAAATATGTTTCAGTATGTCAATAAAATATTTGGGTAGTGATTATTTTACTTGCTTTATGCCCATAGATTCTCAGTGTATAATCTCTTGCATATAGTTGCTTAATGGGAGGGGAGTATCAGGAAAAAGAGAAGTAAAAGAAAGAGTCCAAATAAACTATTCTGAGTTATATTTGCAAAAGAATCAAACTAAAGAAAAGTGTTTATTGAACCCAAATAATAAATATATATCAGTTTTCTATACTCATCCTATTATTATTGATGAAATGAGATTTTTTTACTGGTTACTGCAAGTGAATTAATTGCAGAACCATGGATAAATTGTTAGGAGACTTTTTTGTTGTTGTTGTTGTTGTTCATAATTTTATTTGTTTTTTTCTTTTTCCCCCAAAACCCCAGCAGATAGTTGTATGTCATAGCTGCACATCCTTATACTTGCTGTATGTGGAATGCGGCCTCAGCATGGCCGGAGAAGCGGTGTGTTGGCGTGCACCCGGGATCCGAACCCGGGCCGCCAGCAGCGGAGCACACACACTTAACCGCTAAGCCATGGGGCCGGTCGTTAGGAGACTTTTAAAAATCACTTTTTTTCTGATTATCAAAGTATAAATGCTTTTTTGGGAAAATATGAAAACATATTTTAATAAAAAATAAAAATCCTTGACCCAAACACCCATAAATAATCACAGTTAACATTTTGCTGTGTAATCTTTCCAATTTTTATGTGTGTTATTTTTGTTTATTTTATTTAGAAAAAGTTTGATCATATTGTATTAAGTTTTATGTTCCTTATGTAACATGAGCATTTTTTTATATTACTAAACATTTTTTGAAAACATGATTAGTGATTTCATCTAAGAAATTAAAAGTTGAGAAACCCTAAGTGAGGGATAGTGTTGAGCATTTAAATGACTTATTGTAGAACAGCATGTTTCCGGCATTTTGTTAAGTAGAAGCTGACATTTACTTTCATTTGACTACTGAAGTGACATTGGGCATAATGTTGAACAGAAGAATACTTGTTGAAAATTAATTTATCATGCTTTTCTAATTATATATTGATTATATATATAAATAACATTATCAATTTATTTATTTGGAATCAAATTTAAATACTTCTCTATCTGACAGGTAAAGTGTATGCCGTGGGTGGACATGATGGAAATGAACATTTAGGTAGCATGGAGATGTTTGATCCTCTCACTAATAAATGGATGATGAAGGCATCAATGAACACAAAGAGGTAGATCGGCATGGAAATTTATTTTGATTTGTTGGTGGAAAATAAATAAACCTTCCTATAATTGAAAAGGCTAATTTTTTTACTTTTACGTTTTTAGAAAATTTAAATACCTTCTTAAACACATTTTGTTAAAGTGTCCAGTGTGATGCTTTGCTATAACTTTTTATATTTGAGAATTAAAAATGGAATCATGTCTTAGAGTATGATAATGATTGTCGTAGTTTTCACTTACATCTGAGCATTAATTTTTTTTACCTTTTTATTTTGAAATAATTTTAGTTATTCAGAAAGTTTGCAAAAATAGTAGAGTTCCAGTGGTTCTCAGCTGAAGATGATATTTGCTACCTCTGTGGAGCACTTGGCAATGTCTGGAGACATTTTGGGTTGTCACAACTTGGGGTGGGGAGGTTGGGGGAATTGCTGCTGGCGTCTAGTTGGGAGAGGCTAAGGATGCTGCTAAAGGTCCTGTAATGCACAGGAAGGCCCCCCACAGCAAAGAATGATCCAGCCCTAAATGTCAGTAGTGCTGAGATGGAGAAACCCTGCTGTGTACTCTACACCCAGGCTCCCATAATATTGACATCTTACCCCATCCTAGTACAATTATTGAAATGAGGAAATTGACAGTGATACAATGCTGTTAATTAATCTCTAGACCTTATTCAACTTTTGTCAGTTTTTCCACACATTCTTATGCTTCTGATTGGTTTTTCTTGTCTAATTGTCTTGGCTAATAATCTAATACAGTGTGAATAGTAGCAGAGATGGTAGGTGTTTTTGTCTCATTCTTCATCTTAATGGAAATGTCACCAGTGTTTCTCGATTAGATAAGATACTGGGCACATGTATTTTAATAGGACTAAGGCATATGTATTTTAATATGTTAAGAAAATATCACTCAATTTCTATTCATTCTTTTTTATCATTATGAACATTAATATTTAGAATTCTCATCTATGATAAATTGAGATGTTGTTGATAAATGGATCAGTCTAACAAGGAGGAAGGTTTTTAGTAACATAACTTTGTAAATGTCGCCTAGACTGTTCAGAATTTTTTTAATGACTTGAATACTAAATTTTCAAATATCTTAAGGTGGTAGGGTAGCTAATATCACGTGACCAAATCAGTATTCAAAAGCATAGTAGACTAAATCTATAGGCAAAACCTGAAAATATTAAAATTAGAGTTATAGGCTAAAACCTGCTTTAGGTATTTTACAAAATCAGTTATACCAGTGCAACATGGTGGGAAGTCAGGTTTGTGATTACGTTTATGTGGGAAAAAGTACCTGAACCAATATGAAGCACAGCTCTTAAAACGAAAGAAAAAGAAAAAAGAAAATATAATGGTAGTTGCCTACATTAGAGAAGTGAAGCTTTTAGATCAAGGGAGATGGTAGTCGTAATACTGTTCTTTATGCTGATCTGTCCATATCTATAGCTGTGGTCTCAGAGTGGGATAAGCAGCATCAGTTGGGGTATGGAAATAAAAAATTAGACTCTCTCTGTATTTTTTATTTCATCCTTTTAAATTTATTTTTGAGTGGATGTTTTATAATGAACATAACCTATTAAAACAGTAATGTATGTTTATAATGTGAAAATAATTATGGTTATGTGGGAGGGTGCACAAAAATTGTTAAAAATGTAAGAGTAATCACCTGGGATGCATGTAAGTAAGGACTAGCAGCTTAGTAAGAGATCCAAAAACCATGTCATATAAAAAATTGTTGAAGGGTTTTGGTTTGGAGACGAGAGGACTTAAGGGAGTATCTAGATATTTTAAGAGATTTTTAGTGTTTTAGAAGGAAGGAGTAAATATTTATTAATAGTTCAGTATAATAGCAATGGAGCATATTGTAATTCTTCCCAGTGACTGGAATTATATATGTGTATGTCAGAAAGATAATATATATTTTTGCAGTAAATGGGAGATTAAATTAGATTACCTATTCTTCTCTTTTTCAAATTGAAAATTCAGCAAATACGGTGAGGATTTCAAGGACTGAGCTTAATTTACATAAACCTAGATACTAGAATAATTCTGCCTCTGTTTCAGAGTGAAAATGTAATAGAGGAAAAAAAACAGGTCTATCTGAATAAATACTTAGAACCCTGCTTAAGAGTAGCTTTGTGTAGAGAGTGAAAATCAAAACATCTCTATTGCAATTTTATTTAAAAAAACAAGTAAACCTAATAACAAAACCTAACTTCAAACATTGTGGCTTGTATGGTTTGCAAACTGTAGCAACATTCTGTAAGAGTTAAAAATTCTTGTTACCAGAATGAGCAATTTTAAATTGAACTGCACATGGGGATACATTGCCATCTAATTTTCTATTCTTGATTAATTTGACACAAAATGTTTTTTTGTGTGTGTTTTGCTGAGGAAGATTCACCCTGAGCTAAAATCTGCTGCCAATCTTCCTCTTTTTGTATGTGAGCTGCCACCACAGCATGGCCATTGACAGACGAGTAGTGTAGGTCCATGCCCGGGAACCGAACCTGGGCCGCTGAAGTAGAGTGTGCTGAACTTAACCACTAGGCCACCAGGGCTGGCTCAAACACAAAATGTTTTTAACTGGGTTTTCTTCATGTTGTTAAAATATGAAGGAGTAGATGGAAATGTGAAGAAAGTTCTACTGAAAAAAGATTTTTAGCCTTTTTTCCTCCTCGTAAGTAGAAAGAATCCTAGGGAAAGAAAAACTGGTTTTAAATATGCTATTACCTTCCATTTATCTACAAATGACATTTCAATACTTTAATAGGGCTTGATTTATGCTACATGTAACTACAAATAAATAGTTTAAATTCTAATGCATGGATTAAAATGTGGGAGAAAATCCTAAAGTACATTTTTAATCTTTATGCCCTTGCCTCTTTGTCATGCTAAGTTGGTTTTTAGCCAAGAACTGAGTGAAACTTCTCTAGCAAAATAGCAGTTGAAGGTTTTTTTTTATTGAAGTTTTTTAATCTTTTAAAATATTCCCTGAGTACTTAAAACAGTTGGATAAAATAGCTGTCCAACTGTTTAAAAAATAATAGAACTGCAATTATTTTGTTATATTATTTGCTTATAATTTGTATTTCCCCAAATCATTTTTTCAGTGTGTATTCCAAGATCATTTTCACAAGTAAAATATCTGGTTTTTAAATTTTTTTTCCCCTTCTTTTTCATCTTTCCAGTAAAACAGACACTGGTGTTCAAGCTGTGGTTTTATTGAAACCTATCATCCTAACAGAGCATCTCTAGGGGTTGATTTATTTATTCAACAAATACTGTTTAAGTGCCCACTGCAAGACATACCAAGTGCTGAAGATACAGCAATAAGTGAGACAGTCCAAGTCCCTACCTCCATAGAGCTTACATTCTAGAAGGGAAGATACAAATAAAGACATAATTACAAGGGCAATAATGTTAGCACGGGTAAGTAAAGGGTGCTTGAGCGTAGAGAAGATCATAATGAAGTCCCATTTCACTTAAGATCTGAAGGAATGGAAGAATTTAGCTTGGTTAAGTGGTGGTGGGTGTAAGGATGATGGGTGGAAAGAGATGATGAGTCTTTGAAAATCTGGAGGTGAATGAGAGCAGAGAGCATGAAAGAAGTCCAGTAGGGCTGAGAGATCAAAGGGAATAGTGTCAAGAAATAAGCCTGAAACAGTGGGCAAAGAATTAAGGCCTTTCAGGTGTGCCAAGATTTTTTATCTGCTAAGCTTCGAAATATATATATATTCTCCCACATATATGTATGTTTTTAATAGCAGGGGAATGATAGAATCAGATTTCTCTTTTCAAAGATCCTCTGCATATGTAATTGAGAAGGGATTTGAAGAGGACCAGAGTGAAAACAGTCTGGGAGACCAAAAGGCTTATTGTACTATTTCAGTCAGGAAGTAATGGTGGCTTGGACTACAGTGGTAGAAGTTGGGATAGAGAAAAGACGACATATTTGAGAGAGAGTTCAGAAGTGTACAATCAACAAGGTCCCCCCCCCCCCCAAAGCCCCAGTAGATAGTTGTATGTCATAGCTGCACGTCCTTCCAGTTGCTGCATGTGGGACACGGCCTCAGCATGGCCGGAGAAGCGGTGCGTCAGTGCGCACCTGGGATCCGAACCCGGGCCGCCAGCAGCGGAGCGCATGCACTTAACCGCCAAGCCACAGAGCTGGCCCACAACAAGATTTTATAATAATTAGATCTGGGAGTTAGAAAGAACAAGGCAAGGATAATCCTTCAGTTTCTGGCTTAAGCAACTGAATATAGATAGTGGTGTGATTTTCTGCATTAGGGAAAACAAGACAGTGAACAGGATAACATTTTTGTTTGTCTTGTGACGGGTATATTAGTTTTCTATTGCTGTGTAACCAGTTACCACAAACTTAGCCTCTTAAAACAACATCCATTTATTAGCTCACAATTCCGTAGGTCAAGAGGTCCAGCAGGTTTGACTGGGTTTTCCCCTTAGGGTCTCTCAAAGCCAAAATCAATGTGTAGTCTGGGCAAGGCACTTACCTGGAGGCTCTGGGGTAGAAACTGCTTCCAGGGTTGTGTAGGTTATTGATAGAATTCAGTTCCTTGTGACTGCAGAACTGAGTTTCTCATTTTTACTGGCTGTTGGCCAGAGGTCATTCTCAGCTCCTAGAGGCTAGTCTCAGGTCCTTTACAAGCGTTCCCCTCTACCATCAGGCAAGCAGTGACATGCAGAATGCACCTCCTCCTTTGAGTTTCTGCCTTGTCTTCTGCTACCAGCTGGAGAAACCTCTGCTTTTATAGGGCTTGTGTGATGTGACTAGGCTCACTTAGGTAATCTGTCTTTTGCCATATAATGTAGAGTAAGCATAGGAGTAAAACTAGAGGGTGAATAACTTGGCAGGGGGAAGGGCATCTTAAAATTCTGCCTACCACAGAGAGGTAGACAGTGAGTTCCATTTCAGATTAAAGTTAATGTTGAAGAGCCAGCAAGACAGATTTGAGGTAGAAGTTGGATATATGTCTGGAAATATATATTAGAGTTATCGTAAGTCCATGGAGAGAATAAGATTGCCTACAGAGAGAGAGTATAGGGTGATAGAGGCCTTAGAGAACTTCATAATTTAATGATGGTGTAGACAAGGCACTGCTGAAGCTGAAAAGCACCAGCCAGAGATATGGGATGGAATTCAAATGAAAATCAAGAGAAGAGAGCTTTGAGGAATAGGAAATAGCCAATTATATCATATGCTCTTGTGGTTTGGGGTGTGGAGCAGGAGGGAGAATTATTAGGCACACTTACTTCTGCAATGATATAACACCCTTATGTTCTAGAGTGCACACACGTGTTCACATATACGTGAACATTTTTATAACCACAGTATTTTGTAAGTCATTCCTTTATACTCAAGAGAAAAGAGGTTAAGGAGACTGGAAATGAGTAACAACATTATCCTTAAGAATTCTTTTCTAGGATACTCTTTTGGTAAACTTAAATTAGAATCTCAGTAGAGCAGCTGCTATCTCCTGTAATAATAATAGGTAATACATAGAGCACTAAATATGGGCCAGTCATTTTACCTATATTAACACATTAGTATCAGCTGTGTCTACTCCTTTCTCAAATGGGGTGCAGATGAAGAAGCAACATAGTAGAAGTTTATAAAATACACTACTTTATGCAAAGTACATACCAAGTCAGTGACAGATAATAGTCTTAGAGTAGTTCAACTTTTGATTGCTGCAATGTTTTTTTTTTTTTGTGAGGAAGATTGGCCCTGAGCTAACGTCTATTGCCAATCTTCCTCTTTTTGCTTGAGAAGAGTGGCCCTGAGCTAGCATCTGTGCCAGTCTTCCTCCACTCTATATGTGGTATGCCACCACAGCATGGCTTGATGAGTGGTTTGTAGGTGCATGCCTGGGATCCAAATCCTTGAACCCTGGGCCACCGAAGCGGAGCACATGAACTTAACAGCTACGCCACCGGGCCGGCCCCGTATAATGTGCTTTTTAAGAAATTGATATAATTTTTTTCCAATCACCATTACAGTGAATTAGCTTTTAACATGGGCTAAGTCTCTTCCTTTGCAAGAAGAGAAATGCCCTTCAGAAGTAAAGCAATGTGATATAAAGTGTGTAATATAAAAATTAATGTTCTTTTGTGTGGTATAATGAAACTCGGCAACAAAACGTGTTCTGCAGTTACATGAATTTAGAAATGAGTTTGACTTCTGACTTCTATAGCAAACCATCTCTGCTCATCAGTCAGTTCTTCAGCCTCTCAATTATGCAACTGTGTGTTTTCCTAATTGAATGTTTTGGACTCTATTTATAGTATTTTGTTGGGTTTTACTTTATTATTTCATTTGAATTTAAAGTAACCTGTGTGGGCTATGCAATGTAAAACTCCAGAGGGTACTGTTCACATAGACTTGGACAATTTGGCAACCCGGTAGCCATCTATTTAGAAGCTTTGATAATCTAAAAATAATGGGGAAAAAACACATTGAGGTTTAACATGATAAATGACTTTGCATTGGCACAATTTTTTTGCTACCTTTTTTTCTGGAAACAAACCCAGATGCTAAAGTGTATTTTATTGTCTTTGCAGGCGAGGAATTGCCTTGGCCTCCTTAGGAGGTCCAATTTATGCAATTGGAGGGTTAGATGACAACACTTGCTTCAATGATGTGGAGAGATATGACATAGAATCTGATCAGTGGAGTACAGTGGCACCAATGAATACTCCCCGGGGAGGAGTTGGCTCTGTGGCTCTAGTAGTAAGTTATGTGGCATCTTGCTTATTGGATTGCATTGCTTCACATTCCTAACCAAATAAGATCTGGTATATTCGTATCACCAGTATGCAGATATTGATTACACACCAGATTATTTCATAAGTACTGCTTTCTTGCACATTCTGGTCTACCATTACGACAACACATAAATCAATTCAAAATCTAATGTCATGTGTTTTTATTTTTTCTTTATTTAGAACCATGTTTATGCAGTAGGTGGCAATGATGGAGTAGCTTCTTTGTCTAGTGTGGAGAGGTATGATCCACATCTGGATAAGTGGATAGAAGTTAAAGAAATGGGTCAACGAAGAGCAGGCAATGGAGTCAGTGAGCTGCATGGTTGCTTATATGTTGTTGGTGAGTGGATGGTATTTCTCTAGTTTAACTTATTACAGGATATACAATGACAGTGTCATAAAACAATACAATAACAGAAATTATATTGCAGTTAGGCTCCAGGGGAATTGGTTCTAAGATTTGCTTAAGGTTTACATTCATGCTTTTTTTGTTTATATTTTCACCTTTCATGTGTAAAACTTCTACCTCCATATTTTTACTAGGAGTAGCAAGTATATCTAAAGTAGGGGATTACATTTAGATAAGATTTTTTTATTAATGTAAGGACACAAATTGAATGTGCTTTGCTAAAATAAATCTTTAAAGATCTAAGACATTTTTCTCATCTTCATTTCAAGGGGATTATATTGACTAAGGAAACGGATAGGTATTTCATATGCATCATGACTGTTGGCATCTTAATATTGCTTTTTTAATTTTTTTAATAATTTTATTTATTTATTTATTTATTTATTCCCCCAAAGCCCCAGTAGATAGTTGTATGTCATAGCTGCACATCCTTCTAGTTGCTGTATATGGGACGCGGCCTCAGCATGGCCAGAGAAGCAGTGCGTCGGTGCGAGCCCGGGATCCGAACCCGGGCCGCCAACAGCAGAGTGTGCGCACTTAACCGCTAAGCCACGGGGCCGGCCTTAATATTGCTTTTTGATATACTGAATTGCGGAGTTGGAAGGGACAATAAGGCGGTGCTTTCTCAAGCTTTAATATGCATATGAATAATATGGAGATATTGTTAACCTGCCCCGGGGGCCTACAGTTTAGAGGGGCCTAGATTTTGTATTTCTAGCAGCACCCGAGTGAAAATTGATGTTGCTTCTGGTCCACTCAACACACTTCAGTAGTAAGGTTTTAAAGGACTATGAAATGGGAGTAATAATGCCTATCTTTCAGAATTGTTTTAAGAATTAGAGATAATGTATGTTAAGTATCTCAAACTGCATCTGGTACTTTGTAGTTACCCAATAAATGGGCAGCTGTATTGTGATTAGTAATCTCTTCCTTTACAGAGGAGGAAATGAGTTCAGAGAGGTTGTCACTAGCTTATGTCACACTTAGGTTGATGTAAATTGTCTGGTGTTACATAACTTTTAGTTCTTGTTAAGAGACTGGGATATTGTAAGTATTTAAATATCTGCAAGTAATAGAAGTAATGCTGAATCTTCCAGTGCTTGTGTGTATTAAGGAAGAAGAGAAATGCTATAATTTACCTTTAGATCTTGCCTGATCATCATAGCAGCTCTGTGAGGTAGTCAGAGACTCAGAGAGTGAATAATTTACTCACAGGCACATGCCTGAACAAGTGACGGAGCTGGAATTTGAACTCGGGTCTGAGAAACCAGAGTTCTTACAGGACACCATCGCTACCTCTCACAGCTCCCTATAGCACAGGCATTGATTTACATGTGTTATATGTCAATAGGAGTATCATTGTTGCTGTTACTTGTTAAATCTTTTGGACCCTTATAGTTAGAACAGACATGGTAAAAGTAAGACTGACTCAGGCTGAACATTATAAAAACCCCTCTTGGTCATTCAAGTCCCACTTAAAACAGATACAATTGATTTGAATAAGAAAACTTTGAAGGTAACTGTATGTACATGTCTCACAAGCTAATTGCATCCTGCCTTTTCTATCCCTCTGCTTTGAATTCTTTATTATAAATTTATATGCATTACCTAGGGGAATGATAGGGCGTCAGTGGAAAAGAAGGCTATGAAAAATATAACTATTAAAAGCTTAATTTTCTATATTAACATGAACAATAATTAAAACTAAACGCTTTATTATAATGAAAAAATGTTCTATATCATGGTTGTGGTGGTGATGACACTACTGTATACATTTGTTAAAATTCATCAAATTATGCACATAAAATCGGTGAATTTTACCTCAATTAAGTTGATTTAACAAAATTAAATCCATTAGAGAAGTTGATGCTTCATATTTTTTTTACTGACGTTGTTTCTAAATAGACTGATCATAATATCAACACTTCCTGTCCTCAGGAAAATAGACTTAGTCACCAGAGAGAGCTATTACTCATGTAGACCGAGATGGAACCTAAAAAGAGACACAATTATTTTTAAAGGAAAGAGCACTGTTAAAATAACAGTCTCTATTTTTAATCCTCAGGAATATAGTAAGTAACATTGTTAGAATGATCTATATAGAGAGGACTGTCATCTTCTAGAATATGTAGCATGAAAATGTAGTTTTGGCAAAAATTGATAAGAATTCAATCATAGTCCACCATCTCTGTAATTATGATGGCATTTATAGTATTAAGGGAAACAGTGGGAAGACTTTAACTTGTATCTAAATGAGTCAAATGATTTAGTGTAGATTATTCTCTTCTCAAGCCCTCTTACGGTTTAAAAATACAATACACACATGTACACACAGAGAGAAGGAATCTCAGTACTGTCTTGCTTGCCCTTAGGAGGCTAAGGAAAAATTATGTGAATGTCTGTGGGTTGTTTTTTTTTCTTCTAAGTTATCTATCTGCCTAGACACAGGGACTCTAGTTTTTCCCATTTTAAGATTTTTAATTCTAGTATTGAGGTAAAATACAATTTAAATTATCCTGAATTATAGAAAATGTCTAATAGGAGTTGGTAGTGGTGATAGGTGTTGGGGTGAATTATTTTTCCTGATTTTCTCAATTTTCTAAAATGTTTTTAAAAGATTGGGTCGTAGAAGCTATGGAATTGAGAGTTAGTAGTTAAATGCTATGAAATGTAATGCTATTTTAAAATCTTTTTTTATATAGGTGGTTTTGATGATAATTCTCCTCTGAGTTCAGTTGAGCGGTATGACCCTCGAAGCAACAAGTGGGATTATGTAGCAGCACTTACCACTCCTAGGGGTGGAGTGGGGATCGCAACAGTGATGGGCAGAATCTTTGCAGTTGGTGGTCATAATGGCAATGCATACTTAAATACAGTAGAAGCATTTGATCCAGTGCTGAATAGGTAATTTTTATGTTTTCTCTCTGCTTTTAATGGGATCTTCCAGTACCAGATTACACCAGAATGCTAAAATACTGCTAGATGTAGTTATTAAAAAACATTTAGGATATCTTATCTCCCTGAGGAAGCTTGCTGTCTTTCAAAACCAGTTCCATCATAGGGAGTTTTTGTCTTTGTTGGTATTTTAAGTAAAGTAAATCATGCTTTAAGATAACATTCTCTTCTGTCTTTTCAGGTGGGAGCTTGTTGGATCTGTGTCTCACTGCAGAGCTGGAGCAGGTGTAGCAGTGTGTGCCTGTTTAACTAGCCAAATTCGAGATGTAGGTCACGGATCCAGTAATGTGGTGGACTGTATGTGATTTGAGTTCTAGTCACCAACAATGTAGTCATATCTGATAGGCAAAAAAGACAACCAGGATTTTGTATGACCACCTTCGAACAGTAGAGTCTTATTTAAATGTAAACTGTTGTATTGTGATTAAGTGCAACTTTTGGAATGGTAGCTGCACAATTATTAGTAATAATATTAAATTTGATACTTCCCGCTTGAGCAGATAATGGCGTAGGGAAGGCAGTCTAATCTGAAACCATCCCTCCTCCAAAAAATGTTTAAAGTAGTGCCAAAATCTTGAAATCCCTTTTTTAAAAAGGTCTGGATGAATCAAAATGTAAAATGGAGTCACTTGCCGAGTTTTTACCTTTTCTTTTGCCTAAAAGTGTTAACCTTAGGCAGTGCGTTTTTCCTGGAGGAGAGATTAGAACCTACTCATCAACACAAGGATATCAGGACGTATAAGAAACCTGCTTCTTTTGAAGATCATTTCTACTTGGTGCTGATGAATTTATGCCTTGCTTTTTTCTTGGTGTTGATTTTTCAATTTCTTGGATATTTACAAAAGTAGAAAACATGTTTCATCTTTCTGAGTGCCACTTGGCTGAATTTTCAGAAGCTTATAGGAGTGCTATAAGAAGCCCTTAGTTTCAGTTTGAATTGTGAGGACACCAAAAGACCTAGCTGCACTTAATTCCATCTGAACGAATCTAAACTTTTATTTTTTCATCTCATGCAAAAAGGATTTGTTTCATAATCAAGAATTGAACCAGAGGAAATATTAAAGAAGGCTTTAGAGTTGATGTTATTTTAGTGCCCAGTTGAGAGACCTTGAGAAGGAATGGTGCTGATTACATGACTGCTTCATGAGGGGAATCTGAAAACATGTTTAACACTCGTCTTTGATTTAATCATTTGATTTTTGAACCCAAGATTTATTACCTTTCTATTTTGCTGTTTGCCACCATCCTGGTTTTTCTAACTGTACACAATCTGGATTTATTTATTATCAGAAAATGAATGCATTTTTACAAAAACCCTTCATAACTATAGTTTACTGATTAGTTCAAGTCCATCATTACCAATAAAAGATAGTGTTGGTAAAAACAGAGAAAGATTGAAGTACTGTTTGTCCTGTTATATTCAGTCCCCTCTGGTATATTTATTGAACTTTAATTGAAAATATGTCTATACATTAATTTGAAGCCAGAATATTTACACACCTACTGATTTAATAGCTCTTCATGATTTTAACTAGCATTATAAAATGGCATATTCATTATATGTATATATTTTTATAAATATTTATGAAGAATATTAAAATATTCTATTTTGTATTTGTAATGCAGTTTGGTACCTCTCTTCCAGGCCTTCCTAAATTGTCCTTTAGTCATGCCTTAGAATGTAGTGCAATTCACTGCTGGTCAGTCCATCTGGTTCACAAGGAAGCTGGGGTAGTGAAGAACACTGCACCCATCCATCCAGCCCTAAAGTTTATTGCCTAGTAGCTCTAATGGTCCTCATTAAATGGCAGCCTGGGCCTGTCAGTACAGTAGGGCAAAAAGCCACATTACAAAAGCCAGTGCCTATTAGGTATATTAGACCCAAAAAAAGAAAAAGAGAAAATTGTTAAGAGGTCCCAAGCTAGCAGGTAAAGGTCTTTTATGGAGCAGATTTATAACTTCCTGAATTATGCCATTTTTTGCTGTCAGCCTATGGGCAAGTTCATAAGTTATGGCTGGATCTGAACCAGTGGTCTCTTGTAAAACTATACCCATATTTCAGTCAATCCCCAAAGCATTTAACTGGATCGCACTCACTGGCTGGATGTGGAGAATAAGTCTCAAAACCTGGCTTCAACTGCCTATTTCTCATGTGTAATGGAGTTCTTGTATTATAATGCTTGTCTAGTTATGGTTACTAGTATGTTTGTTATATTTATTTTTCTAGGGGAAGGGTCTTCATCTTATTGTTTCAAGATTATTTAAAATGTCTTTTTCTTTAACATATTTCTGCCTTTGTTGTGTGTATAGAGTTTAGGAGCATAGAGGTGTTATATTGCTATTTCTGGTTTTTACTGCACAGTAGTCATCTAACATACTAAGTTGGTACCCTAGCTACCCATAAAATATGAACTACTTATAAGTAAAGGGAACATGTGGCTGTCTGTTACATTATGTATGGACAGTCAGAAGCATAGCCTTGAAGGACCTGACAGTGGTATGAAAAGATAAATAGTGGAATCAATATGCACAGTCTCTTTATTAAAAACACATTCTTGGAGATATGAAATGAGAATCAAAGGAATCATGCAACTGAAAGATGATTATATTCATCGGAATAAAGAGATGAAATATTCAAAGATGGCTGCTTAATTGTGAGGCCTGTCACTTTAACCTCAGATAATAGGGCCTACCAAAAAGTGATATAAAATAAAGCTAAAATTTTGAAATTGTAAATGGAAAAAAGAAAAAGTAAAAATTTGCATATTATTTCTTTAAGAAACATTTCTAGGTCCTTTTGTGTGATTCTCCCATATGGTCATTAAAGCCTCTGCTTACTATATTGCACTGCCACTTTAAAAACCTATTTCTTGACATTGTTTTTGACTAATTTTACTATGTTCTGTGTAACTGATTATTTTTTAAATGTTCGTGTAAACTTTCTACTCTCCCTAGGGAGTATTATTTATTCTCTTAATTCCCAAATGAATTTTGAACTTATAATGCTGTTAAATGCCTAGATAAGAGATTGTTGAAATTGCATAAACTACTCTTGCAAATGGTAAACTTGAGAATCTTCCGTGTTCTTTTTTCTCCATGTCTTATATGATAAGAGAATGCATTTAAAACTAATTCATGTCTTATCAATTAAGAATGTTTTCTGTGGTTTCTCATATCAGACTTTTAAAGAAATTATTATTGGATATCATTGGCATTGTCTCTTTTTCCCCTTTATGTGGAGTTACAAGTGGCAATAAAACTTCTCTGTAATATTTTCTTAAAACCATACATAAATTTGTGTAATACTCTAGCAAATCAAAATAATAAATTATCACATATAGTACCAAGTACTGAGATCAAAGAGTTGGGTTCACATCAGTACTATTTATTGATTCGAAATATACTGTGTGTATCTATTATGAATAGGAACTTCTTTCTATAAGGTCTGTATAACTTTGCTTCTCATCGTTTGACTGCTTTTATTGAATCCTATCAAAACTATGTGATTGTTTATTCTCCATCCCTCAAATATAAAATCTATTTTAATACGTTGGCTGTAATATATTTCTCTTCATGAAAGGGATCTTTATGTTTAACTGAAAGTAGGAAGATTTTTGTTAACCCTTACAAAAATTAAAGGTTAAAGGCAACTATGTAAGTAGTTTCACTCATCTTAGCGACTGATTAAGCAATTGTCTCTTCAGCAATTGCAGACTTGTACTATATAGAAATGAGGTTCTTTATGCATTAAGATGAATGTTTTCCAGGGCCGGCCTGGTGGCGCAGTGGTTAAGTGTGCGTGCTCCACTGTGGCAGCCCGGGGTTTGCAGCTTCGGATCCTGGGTACAGACTGACGCACGCTTGTCAAGCCATGCTGTGGCGGTGTCCCATCTAAAGTAGAGGAAGATGGGCGTGGGTGTTAGCCCAGGGCCAGTCTTCCTCGGCAAAAAGAGCAGGATTGGCATCGGATGTTAGCTCAGGGCTGATCTTCCTCACACACACACACAAAAAAGATGAATGTTGTCCTTCCAAATAGTAACCTGGTGAAGCTATAATTTTGTCTTTTAGCTATGTTGCCATTGCTAAAAACTTGTCCGAAACTCCCCTTTGAAAATAGCCTGAAGAATCCGTTTGTAAGAGAATTAGTCTCATTGTAGTCATACGTTAATTTTGACCAGAATCTTGGTTATGGCCCTGTGTACTTTATGATCAGACTTGATTCAAAATATTTTATGACTATCACAGGTGAAATCTACCCTCAAAGAATTCAGGTGTTCCTCCACTGGAAAAAAATTTTTTCAACAGTCACAATGGAAGATTTCTAAAACTACCCTGAGCAATACTAACTTCCTTGAAAGAAGTATATAGCTTCTTTGAGGGGAAACCTTATTTGAATGCAGAAATTCTGCATTCAATTCTGTTTCAATTCAATTCTGTTTTTGTTGTTGTTTTAATAAGTCAGTCAGTCTTCCATTATCTTAAGAGTTGATGCTAAATTCAGTCTGCCTGAACAAACTCTTTAGAATATAAGGGGTTTCTTAAATTTGGGTAATAGTCATGGGGAGTATTAGTAACTTTAATTTTTTAAATGTATAGTCTATACCAGTCACTTTATAACATTTTAATCTTTACAATAATTTTGCATTTTACAGTTAATAGATTCACAGACATTAAGTAACTTGTCCAAGATCCACAACTAATCAGTGGTTAACCACAAAGTATTCTTTGTGACTGAAAAATTCCACTGTTTCACCTAACATTAGCTATACCTCTCCTCTCACAAGGTAGTATACCTACATTTAAGGAAAGATGATTTTCTTTTTCATAGCTTCCTCTTAGCATTATAAAAGTATTTCTTTTTTTTTGTGAGGAAGATCAGCCCTGTGCTAACATCTGGCAATCCTCCTCTTTTTTTGCTGAGGAAGACTGGCCCTGGGCTAACATCTGCGCCCATCTTCCTGCACTTTACATGGGACGCCGCCACAGCATGGCCTACCAAGCAGTGCGTCGGTGTGCGCCTGGGATCTGAACCTGCGAACCCTGGGCCACCCCAGTGGAGCGCGTGCACTTAACAGCTTGCGCCACCGGGCCGGCCCCTATAAAAGTATTTCTGATCACTATATCTCTTTTTTTTTGGTCACTTTTATTTTATTTTATTGAGATATAATTGACATATAACCTATTAGTTTCATCATGTATATGTGACTTGATACATATGTATTTTGTGAAATGCTCCCCACAATGTCTAGTTAACATCCATCACCACACATAGTTAAAAAATTTTTCTTCTTGTGATGAGAAGTTTTAAGACTTACTCTCTTAGCAACTTTCAAAGATACAATACAGTATTATTAGCTATAGTCACCGTGCTGTTGTACATTACATCCTTAGGACTTATTTTATCACTGGAAGTTTGTACCTTTTGACCCCCCCCCCCACCCTTTTCACCCATCCCCTACAACCACCTCTGGCAACCACTGGTCATAATATTTCTGTATGTAATATTTTATATGTAAAAATAAATGCACCATGGAAGTTATCAAGCATAGTAATAACACCCATGTACCCACTCCCTAATTAAGTAGAACATTTCTGGTAGTATTGACTCTACCTTTGTGTTCCTCCTCAATTCCAATCTCTGGTCTCCTCTTCCCCGAGGTGAGTACTGTCCTGAATCAGTCATTCCTTTGCTTTTTTCCTTTTTTTATACATATATCCCTAAGCAACATATTGTTTGCTTTTGTTGATGAACTTTACAAAAAATAGTATCATACTATATGTAATCTTACATCACTTGATCTTTTCATTCAACAAGTTCATTTTTATAATTTATGTTGGGTAGTTTTCTATTTTTTTTGCTTTTACAAACTGCTAAAATGAACATTGGTATACAGATTTCTTGGTACACATGTGCAAGAGTTTCTTTAGAGTATATACCTAGAAGCAGAGTTGGTTGTAAGGTATATGCCTGATCAGCTTTATAACATTTTTATAAGATAATGCAAAGTTATTTTCCAAAATGGTTCTGCTAGTTTACAAGATGGTTTATCATTTACTTGCTATCGTAAGACCTAATTTTTGCCAATCTAGTAGGTATAAAATATTTTATTGTGCATTTTCCTGATTATTAATGTGTGGAACATGTTTCCATGATTATTAGTCATTCCCGTTTCTTCTGTGAAATACTTCTTGATGTCTTTTGTCCATTTTTTTTCCCCCTGGGAAAGATTTGCCCTGAGCTAACATGTTACCACTCTTGCTCTCTCTTTTTTTTTCCCTCCCCAAAGCCCCAGTACATAGCTGTATATTCTAGTTGTAGGTCCTTCTAGTTTTTCTATGTAAGCCACTACCACAGCATGGCTACTGACAGACGAGTGGTGTGGTTCTGAGCCTGGGAACCAAACCAGGGCTGCCGAAGTGGAGTGCGCCAACATTTAACCACTAGGCCATCAGGGCTGGCTCTATTTTTTTCTTATTTCCTTAAGAGTTTTTTATAATAGTAAGGATACTAATATTTCTGTTTATTTATTTATTTGTGAGGAAGGTCAGCCCTGAGCTAACATCCATGCCAATCCTCCTCTTTTTGCTGAGGAATACTGGCTCTGAGCTAACATCTATTGCCAATCCTCCTCCTTTTTTTCCCCTTTTTCTCCCCAAAGCCCTAGTAGATAGTTGTATGTCATAGCTGCACATCCTTCTAGTTGCTGTATGTGGAGTGCCACCTCAGCATGGCCGGACAAGTGGTGCATCGGTGCACGCTCAGGATCCGAACCCGGGCCGCCAGTAGTGGAGCGCGTGCACTTAACCGCTAAGCTACGGGGCCAGCCCCTATTTCTGTTTATTTTTATTACATGTATCTTCTCCCAAGTTTGGGGCTTTTCGCGTTGTTTTAAAGAAAACTTCTTAATTTTAACATAATCAAATGTAGTTATTTTTTGTGTCTTAAGAAATTTCTTATCATCTCTTCTCTTTTTTTTTTTTTTGTGAGGAAGATCAGCCCTGAGCTAACATCCATGCTAATCCTCCTCTTTTTGCTGAGGAAGACCGGCTCTGAGCTAACATCTATTGCCAATCTTCCTCCTTTTTTTCCCCCAAAGCCCCAGTAGATAGTTGTATGTCATAGTTGCACATCCTTCTAGTTGCTGTATGTGGGATGCGGCCTCAGCATAGCCGGAGAAACCGTGCGTCGGTGCGCGCCCAGGATCCAAACCCGGGCTGCCAGTAGTGGAGTGCGCACACTTAACCGCTAAGCCATGGGGCCGGCCCTTATCATCTCTTCTAAAAGTCAGAAAATCTCTCATATGTCTTTTGTCCACCTGGAATTGATTTGTGTGTGTGTGAGATAGAAAAAATTTCTTTTCTTAGCTATGTGGATAACTAATTTTCTTTGTGCTGTTTAGTGACTAATCCATCCTTTCCCCAGGGACTTTACATGGCCAATTTCCATGTAAGTAAATATTCCATTGGCCAATTTGTCTAACCAAGGGCTAAATGACACATTATTTTAATTGTTATAACTTAATTAAAGGTCTTGATACTTGTTAGAGCAAGTCTTTCCTCATTTTTAAGGAGTATTCTTGGCCTTTTGCTCTTTCATTAAATATTTGAATTAGTTTGTCAAATTTTGGGGGGGAAAAAACAACTCCACGGGAGTTGTTTTTTTTTTTAAGTAGAATTGCATTTAATATAGAAATTAATTAGGGAGTTACTGACAGCTCTACAATATTGAATCTTCCTAGGTTTTGCTACTCTTTTTTAAGGTAAGGAAGTTTCCTTCTATTTCTAGTTTGCTAAGCCTTTATTATAGGGGTTGGATTTTACAAAACACTTTTTTTCATCTTGAGGTAAACATGTTTTTTTCTACTTCAGTTTAGTAATGTGGGGAATTACATTTAAAGATTTTTTTTTTTTTTTTGTGAGGAAGATCCGCCCTGAGCTAACATCTGCCAATCCTCCTCTTTTTTGGCTGAGGAAGACTGGCCCTGGGCTAACATCCATACCCACCTTCCTCCACTTTATATGGGACGCCACCACAGCATGGCTTGACAAGTGGTGTATCTGTGCGTGCTCAGGATCTGACCCGGCGAACCCCGGGCCGCCTCAGCGGAGTGCGAGCACTTAACTGCTTGCGCCACCGGGCCGGCCCCTAAAGATTTTTTTTAATGTTGAGCCATCTTTACATTCTTGGGATAAATCCTTGATCATTAAGTAGTGATTATTTTTTAAAATATTCTCCTGAACTTTAATAACTAATGTTTTCCTTAGGACTTTTGCATCTGTGCTCAGGGGTGAGATTGGTCTGTAATTTTTCCGTATAATGACATCTGTTTTCATAGTTTTTAGCCTCATAGGATAAGTTACGGAGTATTCTCTCTTTTCTATTCTCTAAATTATTTAACATTGAAATCTATTTCTTGAACAGTTGATAGAACTTACGTGTAAAACCACTTGGACCCATAGAAAACTATGTAAAAATTAAGTACCAGTTCAATATCTTATTGGTTATAGGATCTTTTAAGATTTTTGTTTTCATTTAAGTCAGTTTTGATGAGTTTTATTTTTTAAAATAACATCATTTGCTGGATCCCAGAAGTTTTATATACAATATTTTCATTAATGTTCACTTCGAAATATTTTTTAAATGTTCACTACAAGTTTTTCTTTGACCCATGCGTTTAGAAGTGTATTTTAAAATTACCAAATGTTTTATTTTTACTTTCATTTGGTCATTGATCATGATCTGTATGATTTCACTTCGTGGAAGTGTACTGAGACTTGTTTTATGGCCTATTATGTAGTTAAATTTTGTTTTTTATGTATTCTTGGAAAGCCTGACTAATGTGGTGCATGTACTGTGTTTGTGCATTATATAAGACTAGCTAATTAAGTTGTTCAGTCTTCTATATATTGCCATGTTTTTCTTTTGGCTGTTTGACTTGTCAACAGAGGGAAGTGTTGACATTCCATATTATGATTAGTTTTCATTGTGTGTGTGTTGAGGTTTTCTGATTTATGTGTATGCTAATTTAAGAGTTGAGCATTTTATTTTTAAGTAGTGTTTTCTTATGTGTATTTGTTTCTGTTCCCAGTGACTTTATCCTGGAAGGAAGCTTTCACTGGTTAGTTTTGAAGAGTTCATGGGGCCTAAAATACCTCAGCCCTTTCAGACCCTGTCTCACACCCTTTGCTCTCACTCGCTGCTGGGGAAGGCAGAGCCCATCCAGTTTCAGGGCTGTCTTGGAGCTGCTCCTCCGCGTTTCTTAGCGCGTTTCTTAGTGAGTGCCTCTGGCTCTTTTGTGGTTCATGCTGCTCTCAGCTCAGGTGCCAGTATTGCACAGTTCTTATACCTGCTCAAATTTGGGGGTTCCTGAAAAACCTACTTTGATTAGGATGTTGTGTATAGGTGTTTTTTGTTATCCTGCTTGCCCTGGCTGGTTTATTTTGGTGGGGGGTAGGATTAAGTGGTCAGAAATTTTACTGGCACCCCCTACTAGTGTCCAAGAACTTTTGTCTTTTTTTTAATGAAGGTTTTTGGTTTGTGTTTCCCCTCCACCCCTTTCTATTCTTTTAGTGGTTAACCTTAAAAATTTCAATGTATATTTAACAATCTAAAGTTCACCAGTATGTTAAATGCCTTCCTGAACACTGAGGACCTTAGAACGCTACAATTGGTCACCCTGCTTCCAACTTTGTTGTCCAGTATTTTGGTTGTTTCCCAACCCATGTTTAAACATTATTAAATATTTATTGGGGTTATGTTGATCACTTTTCTTTCATGTATCTGAAACATTCCTTCTGAGGTAATTTTTCTGCCAAAGGATGTATTTCTAGAAGTTAGTTTAGGGAAGTTCTGTTCAAGAAATCGCTTTCAATTTTTCTTCATCTGAAAATGTCCTTATTTTAATTTAACTGTCATTCTTTTTTATATATATTTTTAATTTTTTCAGCTTTATTGAAGTATAATTGACAAAATTGTTTATCTCTCAAGTGTACAATGTGATGATTTGACATTTGTATACTTTGTGAAGTGATTATCACAGTCAGGTTAATTAACACGTCCATCATCTCTCAGTTTCCTTTCTTGGTATGTATGGTGAGAATGCTTAAGGTTTACCCTCAGCAAATTTCGAGTACACAGCACTTGTTATTCTTGATAGTTTTACTAGATACAATTCTAGTTAGTTTTCTCTCAATATTTTGAAGTTATTATTTCACAGTCATCTGGTTTCTTTTATACTTTGTCAGCTGCTGTCTTGTTATCTTTCCTTCCTATGAGATCTCTATTTTTTCTCTCTGCTGCTGCTAAGATCTCGTCTCTTCTGAGCTGTAGTTTCACTATAACGCATCTAGATGTCTTTGTATTTGTCCAGCTAGTATGCATTGTGAGTCTTATATTTGTGATGTTTATCTTTCTGCTCTGAAAATTTCTGCCATGGACTCTGAGTATTACTTCTGTTCTCTTTTTCTGGAACTTTAAACTGTCTTCCTATTAACTAATTTTCACTTCAGTTCTATGTAATCCATTAAATTATTGAATTTTTTATTCCAATGACTGTGTTTTTCATTTCCAAAAGTCCTATTTCATTCTCCTTTAGATAGGCTTTGTCATTCTGGTGGATTTATACTCTTAATTCTTTCTTTTTTCTATCTTTTTTTTTTTCTTTGGGTGTTTCATACATAGTTAACTTTATATCCTGTGGCTGATAAACCAGTACTTGAAGTCCCTAGGGGTCTAAATCTGTTTGTTCTCTCTGAATTTTTCCTTATGGTGCCGTTCTTGCCTGTGTTTGGTGACTTTATTTTGTAAACGCGCACTTAGTTGAACCTGTGGGAATCCAGAGGTTCTAAATTGGGCATGTTCTCCTCTAGACCAGGAACTGCCCCTGGGACATTTTAGCTCTCTTCTTGGCTCCAGGCCTAATTTGGTGTGCTCAGGTTTGGCTCCTGTCCTTACTGTGGGTCCAGTGCTTAGTCTCCTGGTCCCAATGCTGATAATCGCCTTTGTCCTCCGGGCAACCGTGGCTTTTCTGTTTACTCACCACTCCTGCTCAGGTTCCAGCTTATAATATTGGCCTTGGAGGTTTCCCTGCTTTCCTGAGAATCCAGTAAAGTATTTAGAAGTATGTTGTTTGTAATTTATCCAAGAACTAATAGTACTGGGAGAGCCCTTCAGATTATCTAGTCTTTCATAAGCCCCACAAGCAGAATGTTGCCACTACCATTCTACAGCAGAAAAAGGGCATAGTTTTGTCTTAATTGATATTCACATATCTTTCGCTTATGTACTACCAGTTGTTAGTGTTGTTAGTCCCATGGAGTGGATTCCGACTCCTAGCAATCCTGTGTACAGCAGACTAGACCCCTCTGTAAAATTTGTTGAATATCTTAAGTTAGTGGACCTTAACAGAATGAGTTTTTTGGTCCCATGTATTTATTGTCATACCTGAAGTTTCTTGAGTAAATTTAAACTAGGAGTTTATAAAAGGATAATTCATGAAATGTAAGATTACTTTGCATAGATGTGTCTATCACTTCATGTCTCTCTTTGCCCCGAGTGTCTCAAGTATCAGTTTATATATGCCAGTCCCTTAGCACATTGATGTGTTATAAATCCTTTCATAAATATGACTCCAGAGTACTGATGCAGATTCAGAAAAGAATTGCATTCTGCCTGAAACTTTGCAACCTTGTCTTAAAAAAAATGTTTGTTTTGGCCCTTGGCCAAAAGTAATAAAATTCTTACCTGACTATAAATTCCCTGATTTCCCCCGTATTTGTCTGCAAACAATGATCTTTTTTCCTGTCTGGAAACCAGAGCTCAGGACTAAATGACACAGTGGCTATTTGTACTACAGGTTAACACACAGTGCTCTAGTTTTCCTCTTCTACTTGTTTCATTTCATTTCTCAATACCTATTCTAATGCAGTGCTAAATCAATGTGCTTTTTTGGGAGTCAGCTTTATTGAGGTATGATTTATATAAAATTCACCCACTGTGTTTACACTGATTTACTAAATGTATAGTGATGGTGCTCAGGGCAAGCTGCCCCAGGAAGCACCACTCTGGTATGCGGATTATTTCGAGCTGAAGACAATAAGGACTCAGAGAGCTCAGGAAAAATATTTGTTTCCCCTCCCAAACTGCCTAAAGAATTTAAAACCAAAAAATCTGTTTTAGGAAGGGGTTATTATCATGACTGCTATAAAAGATAATTTAGGATAGAGGTTACAATAGAAAAGGCACCAACAAGCCCATCTTATCGGGAGTTCTGTCTCTCTGGCCACATTCTTTGGATGGCCCTGCGAGGAGTTGTCAGACAATCATTTACAAGGGAAGTCTCCATTTGTAAAGGTATCTCCCTATCTGTATTGGGAAAAGGGGGGGGTGAGCTCATTTCTAGTAACTTATCAATGTGGAAGATGAGGCCTTGGGGCTATATAATAAACCTTACTCTTGTTTACTGTGCTTTAGTGGTAATCTCCTGTAACTGACTCCCCCCACCCCCAAATCCTCCTTTGTCATTGGCTGAAAATGATATTTAAGACGAGAATTTCTGCTATTGTGTTGAGAAACGCAGTGTCCCTGCTTTCTCCCATGTATACATGTTATTAACCTTGGTATTATTTTCTCCTGCTAACCTGTCTTGTTGATTATTTGGCCAGCCAGAAGAACCTTAAGGGAAAGGGCAGAGGGAGATTCTCCCTCTTCCCCCGACAATAGAGTTGTGTCAGTTATCACCATAATCCAAATTTAGAACATTTTCATTGTTCCCCCAAAATTCTCATGAGCCTTTCTTGCAGTCAGTCTCCACTCCTCCCCTTCCTGCGTTTTGCCCCAGGCAGCTAATGTGCTGTCTATAATCGCCTTTTCTAGGTATTTCCTGTAAGTGAAATCATACTCTACATGATCTTGTGCATCTCTCTGCTTCCACTTAGCATGTTTTTGAGGTTCATTTCATCCATACTGTAGCATTTTTAGTGAATAGTATTCCATCTTATTCATATACCACATTTTGTTTATCCATTCACCAGTTGATCATTTGGATTGTTTCCAATTTTTGGCTATTATGCATAACGCTGCCATGAATGTTCATGAACATGTCTTAATGTGCACATATGTTTTCACTTATCTTGGGTAGGTTCATACAAGTGGAATCGCTGGGTTGTATGGTAATGAACTTTTTAAGAAATTACCAAACTGTTTTCTGCAGTGGCTATGCTATATCTTCCTATCAGTACAGTATGAGGTTTCTGGTTTGTCTTCATCCTCTCCAACACTTGGTATTGTCTTTTTCTTTCAGTATAGCCATTCTCCTGGGTGTGAAGTGGTATCTCATTGTGGTTAAATCAGTGTATTTTCTATAGCATTTTTTTCCTAAAGGAAATGGTTGCTCTCTAGTGGTGCATTCTGCACATTACACTTGGAAAAAAGGGCACTAATAAGAAGCCTAAAGCTAAAACTTGTTAAATTCATTTCATGTTAGGCCTGTATTATTTAGCACACTGAGTGCAGTTTGAGGCCCAGGTTCAAAATGTTTTCCTCATTACCACTATTAATAATCCTCAGGAGCTGGCTGGTTGGCTGTGGCTTTTACTTAATCCCTGGAGGTGCATTATAGTCAAAACTAAGCTTTTGTGCTTCAGATCTCATCCACTTTATGCACGCAGAGCTTTGGTTTAAGGTTTTACACCTGTGGAGTAGCTAATGCCTATGAAGGAGGAGAGGAAAAGGCCAGAGACAGTTTTGTTGACTCAAACCTACCACATCCTTTCAAACAGAGCCAGAGGGTAAATAATTCTTACTAGTGGAATGAATGTAAATTCTTTTTAATGAATCGCACATAAATGGAATGTGGAGGCTCCTTGGTATTTTCAGGTAACACTTTGTAAATGTGCCTGCAGAGAGTTGTAAAGTTTTAGGAGAATGGGTATCAGCTGCCCCCAGGCTGCCAGGGCTCTGCTGAAAGGAGAGAGCACTATGTACATTAAAAATAGGGAAGAAATGGAGCTAAGGAAGGAACCAGGCCAGGGGTCTACTTACTTAAGGAATGTATACTTGGTAAGTAACGAGAGGTGTGGCTTCAGGAAATTAGGGTAGTAGAACCAAAAGCTTAATGGTTTAAAGTAAGAACCTACGAGTTTAGCTTTAATGCAACAGGATATCTCGCTTATTTTACAGAAAGCGGAGAATGTACATAGTGAAATTTCCCTAACCTCTTGTGCCTTAGCATAATACATTTACCTAACAAAGCATTTTACTGTCCTGCCATATCTAGGAAATGATCATGTATATATGTGTGTACATATGCACAAATACATATGCGCACACACCAATGCCTGAATACGAAATAGTAAAGAGAGCACGATGGATGGACCTGCCCATGGTTATTCACTGCTCCAGTCAAAAGGAGGCAAGAGGAAGGAGAGGCCAAACCATGCCTCTGTGTGTGACATTTTGGTACACAGTAATTCTACTCCATAGTAAATATGGTCCAATCCACTTATGTTATCAATAGGAGAACGCTGATTCAACTTCAGGATAAGCATTGGATATGAGGAGGGGAAACTGAAATATATTGGGACTAAAATAATTTTTAAACATGTATCAGAACTTTAAAAATGTTACTATAAGGAATATTGCTTTTTAAAGAATTAATATGTGGAGATTGCTGCCATCATTGCCAAAATAAACAACTTAGGGAGATATTGGAATTACTTAATAAGGATAAATTTTTATCCTCTCCCTTTTGAAAATAGTGTTTTGGAGCCAAGTCTGGTGAGTTATTTGTATGGACAGTATTGTTTAACTCTTCCCAGAAAAACTACCATAAAGTAAGTAGGCACGTGTGTATGCTTGCCCAACTAGTTCTGCAAACAATTTTAAAGACAGTGTTATGTTTTGAACAGTGGTAACAAATGTGTAGAACTGCCCCCCCCCCAGGTGATGACTTTGAAGGACAGTGGTCTTTTTTAGTAATTTCTGTATATCTCTTTAAACATTGTTTAATAGGGAAATGTGATTACTAATATTTTCACTACATAGACTTTGGGGTATCATCTATTTCAACTCCTTCCTTTTTTGTTACAGGTGAGGAACTACAGTACTACAGTTTCAGTAACTTGCACAAAGTAGAGGATGATGGTTGTTTGGGCTCCTCTTGGTTGTTTTACCAAGACACTTTATGGTGAAAAGTGAGACACGTCCAGGTGGGACCAAGGCATTCAGCCTTGAGTCACCAGTATGTGAGCAAGTTTTACTCAGTCCCTCTACTCTCCAACTTGGAGGACCCCGGGGGAATTCATGCTGTTGCCTGTTTTAGTTATTTCATATTTGCTGAGAATTTACCCTTTAAAGGTTACTTTACTACTGTAAGGGGCCAGCCTGGTGGCATAGTGGTTAAGTTCAGTGCATTCTGATTTGGCGGCCTGGTTTTGCTAGTTCAGATCCTGGGTACAGACCTACACCACTCGTCAGCCATGCTGTGGTGGTGACCCACATATAAAGTAGAGGGAGATTGGCAGGGATGTTAGCTCAGGGCTAATCTTCCTCAAGCAAAAAACAAGGAAGATTGGCAACAGATGTTAGCTCAGGGCTAATCTTTCTCAGCAAAAAAAAAAAAAAAGTTTACATTGTTCATGACTTTGTTTTATGCTAGTTTCTTTAAAGGTTCATCACACTAAATTTTACTTTCATATTTTGTTAAATGTTCCTTTATTAAATAATACATGTCCTCATAAAGAGAATACAAATAAGAAAAAAAAAAACCTGTCAGTTTCAGCAATCACTAGAGGTCCTGGTGTCTTAACTAGTACAGGTACATGGAGAAAATCTACAGGGCAACATGTTAAGCAATGTCAGACAAGGAACCCCCCCATCCCACCCCCTATTGTGCTAGTCATTAAGTTTCTGATGACTGCAGATTCTCAGGACTTAGAGTTTATAAAACCTCTAATTGCTACTCACAGTCCAGTTTTACTAATTGTCTCTAGTATAATCCAAAAATGGCTAAATGTTAACAGTGTTAGGATACTGGTTGCGGATGACATCAAAACAGCTTATAAAAGCCACGTTTCCTTCAGTTCATTCTCAAGCAAAATCTCCATAACTTGAAGTCAGACAAATCTGTATCAGAATCTGGGTTTCAACTTTTACTAGCTGCTTGACCATGGACACATTAGCTTTAGTTTAAATTTCATCATCTGTAAAGCATAATGACTAATTTAAAAGGTGGATTTAAAAATACAAACTAGGGAAAGTACACAGCACACATGGCTTAACACACACTTGCCCCTTCTCCATATTTTCACTTTCTAGGTCTGTTGTGCTATAGGGATGAAAATGTATCACGGATGTCGTGAATGAAAGGAAAAGACTGAGTGGCTCTGTTTGGCTGTGGAGAATTCAGGACAAGTACATAGGCGCAAGAGGAATGCTGTCCTCTGCCTAGCAGATAAACTGGCTTATGCCACACTGTGAAGCTTTAAATAACCCAGTCTGTACAGTGTAGCCACAGGGTGTTAGCTTTAGAATAGCATCTGTGTTAGACAGGACCCACTGAAGGCAGGGACAATGGCTATTTGAATGGAAAAATACCAGATCTGAAGTTACCTGTCACCTGGATGGAAAAGAGACAAGCTGTCCAGAAGCTGGGTGCCCGACCTACACTTTATGCCAGCATACCTTCTGAAGCATATACTTTGCACAAAGGAATCAAACTGTTGAATGGATGGGAGTAAATCTCACAAGAAGTCAGTCTTCCCTTGCTTTTTTTTTTTTTAAAGATTTTATTTATTTTATTTTTTGCCCCCAAAGCCCCAGTAGATAGTTGTATGTCACTGCTGCACACCCTTCTAGTTGCTGTATGTGGGACTTGGCCCCAGGATGGACAGAGAAGTGGTGCCTCGATGCGCACCCGGGATCCGAACCCGGGCCGCCAGCATCGCAGCGCGCGCACTTAACCACGAAGCCACGGGGCCGGCCCTTCCCTTGCTTTTTTACCTTCACTTAAAATAAGCAAATATCAGGTTAACAGGACTATAGTCAACTGAGGCTTAGGACTGACGTGACAATCAAATTTTAGATTTGATCACTATAGGCCATAGGGAAAGCAATGATGAAATTCATTCTGTACATCCAGTGGGTTTCAAAACTGTGCCAATGTTTTCCAACCTCCAATTTACCCAGGATGAATGGCATTTGCTTGGACAAGGAATAAGTTTTAAGGACTAATGGAGCTTCAAATCCTGAAGACCCGTGTCAGTGACGTGCATGGAGTTTCACTCATGTAGGAGTTGACCATTGCCTCCTACAGGGTTGGGGAAAAAAAGAGGTGGGAAATGTAAGTGGCTCATGGATGATGTCTTCTGAAGTGCAGGCAATGGAGCAAACTCAGGAAGATTCATGCAGTGGGTTAGGGGCAATCAACAACCTAGTCCAAGTTTCTTAATTTACAAACTAGAAGGAAAAATAATTCCATAGAAAATGAGCTAAGTACAGGAATCGGCATTCCACACAACAGAAACACAAATGGCCAATAAATTTGTGGCAAAATGGTTAACTTGAGTTGTCAGAGAAATGCAAATTGGAGTAGTGTAAGGTTTTCATTTTGCATCCAAAGCTGGCAAGAATGTAAGCTCACCCACAGTTGGTATAAGAGCTTTTTGGGAGAAGTGGTTTAGTAATATCAAAATTTAAAATTTGGTTTATCTTTTGATCCAGACATCCCCCATCCAAAAATTTATCCTGTAGAAATACTTATAAGAATGCATGTCAATGGGTGTACCAAGTTTCCTCAGTACAGCATTGTTGGCAACAGCAGAATAGTGCGGGGGCCAGAGGTGGCTTGTGTGCATAAAGGGAGAATGTTTAAATAAATGGTGCTATGTCCTTATTACACAGTATTTTGCAGCCGAAATAATGATTAACATAGAAGACTGATATAAAGTGAAAAAACTGAGAATATAGTATATCCAAATTTATGTTTTAAAACAACGTGTAATTACACAAAACAAGTTCTGGAAGGAGATGCACCAAACCTAATGGTAACTATTGGGAGGAGGGGATCAAGTATACTAGACTTTGTACTCTTTGCTCTATATGCTTTTGTGTCATTTGATTTTTTCTAACTAGTCTATTTGTAAATCAGTTTGAAAACAGGATTTAAAAGCAACAACAGGGGCTGACCCAGTGGTGTAGTGGTTAAGTTTGCATGCTCCCCTTTGGCGGCCCAGGGTTTGTGGGTTCAGATCCCAGGTGCGGACTGATGCACCGCTTATCAAGCCATGCTGTGGCGGCGTCCCATATAAAGTACAGGAAAATGGGCACAGATTAGTTAGCCCAGGGCCAATTGTCCTCAGCAAAAAGAGGATTGGCAACAGGTGTTAGCTCAGGGCTAGTATTCCTCACAAAAAAAAAAAAACAAACCTGAATGATTCTTACGTGTATGTAGGCTTTGGAACCTCTGAAAAACTACTCTGCCAGATCACTTATTCCCTTGAGATGCCTGTTGAGTCCTCAGTTGCAATCCTGGGTACTGAGTCCTACCTGCAGGAGGAGTTTCTTCAAAGACTACAGGACAAAGATGGAAAAGCTGGCAGTTGAATAGTTAACTAAAGACATTTTTCTAAAGCCCATGCAGTTGAGTGCAATTGGTTTCCACGTCCAGTAGTGTGTATACCTATAGAAATATATGTGTGTCTGCTCCTGTTTGTGTGTGTTGTTGCTTAGATGATAATTTACAGGAATATTTAGCAGTGGAGAGATACAAACCCATAATTGTTTCTGCCTCCTACACGTGAAATAAGGTAAATGAGATGTTAGGACTGGGCCCCAGTAATAGAGAAGGGTGATTTAAAGCACTTATCCAGGGCAGGCACACAGTCTTTGAAAGCTAAAATAGAATTGTCTGTTTAGAAAGTATTTCAAGGCCGCCCTGCAGTCTGTTAGAAGGGCACAGGTCTTTATTATCAGAGCCTTGGTGTCTCACTACAGGCTTGCTTTCAGCTGAGTGTGGTCTACTGGGAAACCACCAACACCGCAAGAGGCCTGTTCCAAGACAAAACAGACCAGACGGGTACAGTTATCTAATCACAACCAAAGTCACAGCAGATAAACCTCTGATTATATTCTGGTACAGACCCGTTGGGCTTCAAAGTTGTTTGGAATGGATTGGAGCGTTCTAACCACCACCTAGGCGTCCTAATTAAAAGTAGCCTGGATTGTGCCAGTTTACATTCCCAACAACCTTGGCAAAGAGTGAACAAATATCTATTTAAATAATTCAGGCTCCAAAAGTGCCTAAATCCTTGCTTATAAAAAGACTGAGAAGGACACAGAGGGAAATTACTGCCTACTCAGAGTTGTTGTGGTGTTCAGTGGTCATAAAACTGCCTCGCACAATGTCTGGGAAACAGCCCTTCTGTACCTTGAGACACCAAAAGCAGAAACTGCAAAGATGTTGGTAGAAGTCAGCCTACTTAAAACTAAAAAACTTTGTCAAAAAGTGCCATAATAAAAACTGAAAAGCAGAAGAATTTAAAGAGAAATATTTACAACATAACAAGAGGTTAATATCCTGGATGTATAAATCAAAAGGAAAAAGATGAATGGGCTGGCGGGGTCGTCTGTTCTTTTTTTTGCTGCTCAGCATCCTCTTCCTTCTGGAAGAGACCCCCTCCTGGTGGTGAACTCATCCACATGATTTAGGTGAAGACCTTTCCTACAGCTGAGGTGGGCACTTGAGCTGAGTGGGGTGTTGGTCACAGAACTCACGCACTGCAAATGGCAACTTGATATGTGACACAAAAAAACAAAAAAACCTCAGCACCACAGAAATAGAAATGTAAATGAAAACATCAGAAGACACCATTTCCACCTATCAAATTGGGTGATTTTTCCCCTTCACATTTTTCAAACATAATACCCAGCATATAAAGCAGTGGATTATCAATGCATGCTAAAATCATTCAGTGGAAGGTTGTTGGAACAGGGAAAAACCTATATTTATTAACAGTTCTGGTGATCTAGATTAACCAAACACTTCAAGTTAGCATCACTAACAGAATGATTTTAGGTACCTCCTGATGTGACGCAATATGAAGTACACAACATCCCCCGTGAAGGATTCTTGCCAAATATAATCAAGCCTCTAGACCTAACCCAGTCTACAGGAAATACAGGAGATAGAGCAATGAATTAAAGGACACTTAGGGCAACACACAATTCCAAGATGTGGAATAGTATAAAAAGTTTTTTGTTCTGCATGACTAAATGACCAAATGTAATGCATGAAATTTGACTGAATCCTAGTTTAGAAATAATCTGTAAGACCTTTGGTGGACAATTGCAGAAATTTGAATACAGACTGAATATTAGATATTGAGAAATATGCTTAGATGATATAATGGTGGTGTGGTTACGATGGAAAATGTCCTGGGAAATGCTTGCTGAAATTTTTAGGGGTGAAATATAATTCAGCATAAATGTATACATATGCATATTTACATAAAGAAAATATGGTAAAATATTGTTGAATCTGTCCAAATAGTTTGCTTCAGGGCTGGTCATGGAAGCATTCTTTATACTATCCCCAAATTAGAAATAATCTCAGTGTCTAACAAGGGGGTTGGTTAAATAAACTGGTACGACCATACAATGGACAACCACTACTGAAAATAATAGACAAGATATGACATGGAAAGACTTTTTGAAAAAAACGAAAGCCCAGAAGAGATTTTATGACCCATCTTTTAAGGCCTAGTTTCAATGAGATCTCATCCCTGTAACCTCTCCCATCAGGACTAAACACTCTCGTTTCCCACACTTGCCATTGCACGCTTACCGGGTACTGCCGACTTGTCCACTTGACCATAAGCTTTCCAAGGGTGGGCCCCTGTTTGTGCGCTAGGGTAGGGAGTGGTCAACCTAACCTAAGGAAGAACAAAAAGAGAGGAAGAGGTGGGTAGTGAGATCTTTATCAGGGTTCAGGCAGAGGCTGGAGGGTCAGCTGTTGGAACATTGTGGTGCAGTGAGGGGAAGGAATAAATTAAAATAGCAGCTAGTTTTTAAGCGTTTATGCTAGGCACTATGCTAAGCACTCTCCATACACCCTGTGTTGTGATCCTTGCCATCTTGGTAGATATCAAATCAACCAAGTTTATAAATGAGAAACAGGTTAAGTAACTTGCCCAAGGTCACAGAGTAAACTGAAGAGCCAGGATTCAAATTCAGGAAGTCAGATTTCAGCACCTAGGTCCTCTCTGATCTTTCATAAAACCATTGAGGTGGAGTATTCTTTCTTTCAGAGTGGCAAAGGGAGGCGAGACCAGATGGCCTTTAGATTCCTTTCAATACCAATATTCTACGAATCTGTGTACCCGGCAAACAAACTGAAAATAGGCAAACTTGATCACTGATGCAGCTGGCAGTTGATGATGGACGGATAAGAAACCACACTGGAGATATCAGGCTAATTTGTGAGATCAAGATCTTGAAAATCAAGTCAACAGAAGGATGAGCTACCCTCTGCCCCCATTTTTCCCATTTCAACAATACATACATACTGTGAACGAGGGTGCATTATTGCATGTGAGACTCTCTGTGGCTATAAATGGTAATTACATATAGCAATTTTAGGAATTACTTTATTCAGGCAGAGTGAAAGCATGGATTCAACCTCAATGATTTCTCTAAATTTTTATTAATTTTTTTTTTTACAGCTCAATCCTGTAGTGAAAAGGAAAGAATTTCAAGATGAACAAGTCAATTACATTTTTTTTAACAGCAATTAATCCTCATTACAGAAAACAACAAACAAAAGATCTGTGGCACATTATCTTTGGAAAGATCTTTTGCAAATTTTTCTTCTAAAAAAAGAAAACAAACTATAATTCTCACAGATCACATATGTCTCTTTCAAAGGACTATACAAGGCAGCTAAATTTTATTCACAAAAGCCCCGAGTTGCAGTTCCATTGCTGAAGCAGATAAAACCCATGGAGTCCCTCACTTGTGTTGCACAACATCCCACTGAGAGCATCACTGCTTCCCTACCCTACGTACAATCACTGTGTGGACTACAGAGCTGGCACATTACTCCACATAAAGAAAAATTCATATTATTTTAGAAATAGACCAGTGATCTTCGTCAACTGGACGATTTTTTTCCTTTTTTTCAACAATTTTAATAATACCAAGATTTGACTTTCTTCTCAAGTTATAAGAAAGCAAAAAATATATAATATAATATAATATATAATGGTAATAAATAAAAAAAGGCAACCCTGCTCAGGTATCATCCAAAACACGATCACATTCAGAAAAAGAAAAAATTAAAACAAGATTTGGGACACGCGTATAAACACACACACACACACACCAACATGAACAGTGTATACTTGATATCTGAGGGGGGATGTGCAGTCATTTTAACAATACATGTTGATGGTCTGAACAAAAGGCAAAGTTAATACTGCCTGTGTTAAGCATCACTTAAACGTTTACTTTTAAGCAAAGCAAGCTATCTTCCTTAGGTCAGCCACTGCCTGGTCTGACCAGCACAGCTCGGCCAGCCTTGCTGTCAGTGGTCTTATTCCCCTATCCTTCCAGGCCAATATAGTAAGATCTAGGCTCACGGGGAGCTGTTATGTTTCCTTCTTGCCGTCTTGAGTAGAGAAATACAGGCACTTCACCCATCACAGTACCTGTTGATATCTGATGCACAGTGGAACAGAATCTAGTCTGATCTACCCCCAGGACAATAGGAAATTTACAGCCACCTCAAGAAAGGTGGTAGATGGTGCTTGTCAACTCATCATACATACAGTTGTGGCCAGTGGTCACAATTCATTTTCAGTCACCAAGAAACCAACACAACTGGATTGCATATTTGAGATTTACGTGGTCGAGATACCACTTGCAACATCTGAAGGAAAAGCCCCAACATCGTGTTATTCTATCACTCCACCTCCCGCAAACAAAATGACAAGAGATAAAAAAGGCACAGGAAAAACCTTACATCCATAAATTCTAAAAAGGACCAAAAGCAAAAGAGGCAACCCACTAGAGAAAGAGAAACAAGGAGCAAGTACCACTGTAATCCTGACAGCCCTCCACAGCCACAGCACACAACTCACCTCGCAGTGAGCAGATCTCGACATCTGTGTTCCTAAAAGAAGCCCAAATATTCTTGCAAGATTTAAATACTGCTCATCAGTGGTTAGGAGTGTAATAGGTGAAGTGGCAGAGTTTTTCCAAGATTCTGCGTAGTGTCTGGGAAAATAAATCCTTAAGAAAAAAGTAAAATCTGTGGAGGGAGGTAGGGAATCAAGCCTTGTTTGATTCGTTTATCTTCAGATACACCTCAACCCTCAGGGAGCAGAAGAGCAAAAGGTGCAAGACCCACACGACGTCTCTTAAAGCCAGAGCGTGATTCCAGAATGAGGTCTGGGCAGCAAAGGCACAATACATACATCCAATTCAACCAGCCTCTCATTCTGTGTGTGTGCCTGTGCGCACGTGAGTGTATGTACATACATATACACACACACACACACACACACACACACACACACACACCTCCCTTCATATATCAGAGCTAAGCGTTTTGTTCATTTTGGAGGGCACAACGGTTTCTTTTTGCTTCTAAAAATTATCGAACAGGAATCATAAAAAATAGTATGCTCCTGATCCTACTAACATTAATATTTAACGTACCAACTAAGGCAAGTTTTCAGCCATAAATATTCGTTAGCTTCTGAATATCCTAAGATCTGGAATTAAAGGATACAGAACAAGGGAGATAAGTGTGATCCAATTTGTCTAGGGGAAATAGCTAAACATTTTGGTCAAAACAGATCCAAAAAATAAAGGTCTTTTTGTTCAAAAAAGGCAGATGCTTTTCCTATTCACTATTGTGATTAAATCATAATATCAGATAAGTCATTCTCCTGCTGTAGTTCTAGTTCTGATAACATGCCTGCTGGACCCTCCTACTCTTCACCCCAGCTAGCACATGGCCTGCATTCTCACATTCTCAACCCAGTTCTAATTTGGAAAATTTCAGTAAAGTGTTTTTCATTGTTTAGCAGAGCCCTTAGTCTGGCTAAAATCTCAAGTTTAGTGATTCACATTTTAATTATCTCCAGAAAGGACAGAAACATTCAACATTTTAAAAAGTAAAACAGTGTTTTTATATTTTCCTAATAAAGACACACACACACACACACACAACTGTAGTGCCAAAGGCAAGATTTTACACTCAATTTTCACTCGATATTTCATATTTGTCTCACTGTGAAGTGTGTATTAGTATTGTTGTTATAAGAACTTCACATATTCAAAGGCTTAATTTTATAATCTAGTCCTTTCAATTATCTACCTCAGTACAAATTTTGCCTTTGGGAATTTAAGCATGCAGTGAAAAAGTGCACATGATTTAAAAATCCTTTAGATTTCCATATACAACTATAACAGCAAAAAGACTTTATGGATAGCAAGGATTCATCAGCCACTCCCTTTTCCATACCCCATTTAAAAAGGAGCCATCGGGAGTTCTTTTTAGATACAATGCATGTTCCAGTAAGAATCAGAAGTATTCCATGACCTAAAATAGTACAAACTGGTCTCTGCAAATTCATTAGTTTTTCAAGGGACAAATAAATTTTTAATATAAAGGTCAAGAAAACATACACAAAGAATAAGCCAACTGAAAAAGCAATCACTTCTTTTGAAATTGGATGAGAAAGTGACTTGGAAATGTCTTCAGGCAAGGGAGCACTGTGGCCCACAGACAGGACACACACACACTCACACTCCAGCACAGTCTGCATGGATCAGAACCTGTCCTAAAGAACGCACCGTTCTGGACTGGCAGGTGGCTTGTACTGGGGTGTGGTGGGAGGAAGAGAGAGGAATGGCCACGGGAACAGGGGGGAAAAGATGCTAAATAATCACATAATCCTGATTCTGGTGTCTGTCTCCACCTATAAGAGATGGACACACAATGCCACAAGCATACAACCTACCAGGCAATTACTGTTCATTTCACAACAGGCTGCTTTTTAAACGACTAGTTTAAAAAGGACCATGGCTTTGCTTTAGAACATAATAAATGAAATCGGTCCATCGAGATCACACATCAAGTTATTATGCTCAGATATTACTACTGTTGTCATTATCTGGCTTTAACCTAAACATGAGGTAACAGACCTCTGCCCTAGCTCGTGATGATCAAAGAACAGGCTGGAAAAGACACTGAAGGAACAGCTTCACACAAACAATTTAGGCTATGAAAAATTAGCATCATTCCCATCCTCGATACATCCCTTTATATATTTACCAATTACCAAGTTCTTACATTCATCATATGGACCTTAGACCTCTTCATTGTAAATAAAGATGGCACTCCCTTCTTCACTAATAAATAAATATGAAAACGTCAAACATGCTTGGTAGGAAACAACATGTAGAGGGGCAGAATGGGGCTAAGGGAGAAAAATAAACCAACTGTAGATAGAGATAACACTCACTCCTCAATTTTAATACATGTGCAAATTCTACTTCTAAAAGGGATAAAAAGAGTTGGCTTTTAAAAACACTGCACTCAAAATAATGCTTCCAATAATAACCTTCAAAGTTTCAATGAAAAAGAAAATCTGTGCTTACAAACATGTGGGAATTCTGATTGTGTTCTTTCATTTTAGGGCATTCAAAATGAACTTGGTTTAATGTACATAATATGGCAATAACAGCTTACGGGAAGGCCCCAGTTCCTCCTCAATCTAATCAAATCTGGTTGATTGAGAACACTCTGGAGTGAAGGCATGTGGTGATGACTTTTTTTTTTTTTTTTTTTTAAGTCTAATTAACCACCCTAAATCTCCACATCCTCTCAGGGAGTTAATTTCCCCTAGACAATCATGGGTTCTGAAAGTCTAGTTTTGCTATAAATACAAAATAATTCGTAGCAGAAAAATATAGCCTCTCTAAGAAGTAGATTTCATTTTTCTTTGTTCACTGACAAAACTCTGAGTTGGTTAGACAACATGAGTTACCACATAACTGTAGACCACAGATCAGCACCTCAGATTCCAGCTCTACTTAAACAAAAATTAAAAAGCACTTTAGCCATCTGGTCACATATAAATGTTGGTTCCCTCTTCCCCAAGGTAGAAAATTCAGAATCTATAGTCAATGGTGACTGCCTTTCACTGAAGCAGGGGTGGGAATGGCAGCACCGCGTCCTCCGTAGTACATGGCGATTCTGGGATGGCGTCCCTGCGTGCTGGAGCTCCTCTCTCCACCGCTCTGACTGAGCTGACTTTCCACAGTGGCAGCGAAATCAGAGCTGGGGTGAACGTGCACTACTCCAGGCAATGGGGGGGTTGCCTTCAATTTTATAGATTATGACAATACTTGGTATTATCAAAGCCACTGTCCATTGGCAGAAAGTGGGGTACAGTGGAGTCCTTTACAACTTATGTTTTATAGATGACCATTAAATTTATTAAACAAATATTTTCCCCAAAACTTAAAAGAAAAAAAAAATCATCCACAAAACCCTACACCAAAATTCATTGTTAAAAAACATTTCCTTCTGGGAATGGACTAGCGTGGCTACTGAGATGATGTGAATTTGCTTTCAGAGTTGAAATTGCTTCTCCTCATTTCATTTGCAACTTGCTTCCTGCATACTGCTGGTTAAAAAAATACGGAAATGTTTCTAGACCATTCATACGCCCACTTAGGCTACATTGCACTTTTGTCCTTTAGTTAGGAAAGGCAAGATCATCTCTGAGGCTAGCCTCCTCATTTCTGCTTCTGCATAACCATCGTGTCCAACCAATGATCACACAGTTCTTGAGAGTTTAAGTGGACAAATATCCTGGCCATTTCATGGTACTCCTCGAGTTTGGTGTCCTGATGAGACAAATAACTGGACTGTTTTTGAGGCTTCCAATGTGCAAAAAGTTCCCAAGGCATCAAATCAACTCAGGCCTCCATTAAGGTGTTTTGGTTACTTGTTTTAGCCGCTGAAAACCCTGTCTCGTGTAGTGCACCAGATCCATCAAGCTGCTGTTGAGGGCCAAGGCACACGCACTTGTGCTGAGCTGAGCAAAAAACTCTGCAAACAAAGCAAAACCAAAACCAAGTAAACACACTTGCACACACAAAAATAAAAATGGAAACATAAGAAGTGAAGGTTCCAGAAACTATGTCCCCACAATATTCCATACTTCATGTATCACAGCAAAAGCTCTCAATCTACTGTCATGGCTTGCCAATTCTCCACATCTCTCCACTAGACTAGAAGGGTAGGAACTCTTTTGTTTTAGAGTTGAATCCATAATGCCTAACACAGTGGTTGGCACTGGAAAATACCTAATTTATACTTTTGGTACAATGGATGCATGAATGGGGGAAAAAAAAAAAAAACCCAACATGTTAAAAAAAACATCATTAGCTTGTGAAGAAAGAAAGTTCTAAGAGGCTGTGAGGAAATAACATGGCCACAGCCAGCTGGCCGCCTTCTTCCCTAGAGCCAGGAAAAAATATGTTAATGACATTAATGTGGCATTTACATATAAGCATCTAGTTAGTGGTCACTGGCACTGACCCAAGTGGTTCCTCTAATAGCATGCTCCACCATCTCCTTAACCTGGGATTTCTCCAAGGGCCTTCCCTCAAGTCTCAAGAACATTCACTATGCCGTATTTCTCGTACTGTCACTAGCCATCTTTCTTAACATATACTGAAAGCAAACAATAAACTCAGTATTCAGGTTATGCTACTTCATATCTTAAATGTGTTGTGCCCAGGGACAGCCAGTAACTTCCCTTCTTCACTCGCCTTGCCCTTTTGCTTGCATTTCAGTTCAGGCTGAAATAACGAGGCCAGAGCTTCTGAAGGGGAAGGTGCTGAAGCCACTTCTAATTTAATTTTGCTAAGATCTAGCCACAGAAATCCGGCTCCATGCCACAGAGCTCAAGAAAGAACTGCAACCAGGTTATGAGGCACAATGGAGAAAATGAGAGAAGAGTAAATAGCTACACATTTCCTTTTCTTCAAAAAACTGAACATAGGGCCAGCCTGGTGGCGTAGTGGTTAAGTTCACGCGTTCTGCTTTGGTGGCCCAGGTTCGCGAGTTCAGATCCTGGGCACGGACGTACATCACTCATCAAGCCATGCTGTGGCAGCATCCCACATACAAAAAACAGGGGAAGATTGGCATGGGTGTTAGCTCAGCGACAATCTTCCTGAAGCAAAAAAGAGGAAGATTGGCAACCAATAGTAGCTCAGGGCCAATCTTCCTCACCAAAAACAAACAAACAAACAAAAAAAAACTGAACATAAAATACAAACAATGTTATTCCCCCTAAATTCCCATGCCCGGACTTACCACCACAGGGCCATTTACCTTTATTATTTCTTGCCAGGAACTCAGCCTGTTCCCAAAGATCAAAGGCAGTAAGGATATGGGAAGTGATGGTGACATAGGAAGATGTCATATTTTGGATGGTGACTGGGGTACTGACAGTGGCATGCATCCCACTGCTCCCCACACTGCCGGCACTTGACTGGGATCCTACGGAGCTGGCAGGAGAAGGCATTGGAGAGAGAGGGGATGGTGTGCCTGTGCTTCTGGAAGGTGGGAGAAAAGAGAACTGGTTAATCACCTAAACCCCCCGATTACAAATTTCCCATCTCTGGGACCGCAGTCCAAGTCACAAAGTTTCAGTGTATACGAGGCAAAATGACAATCACTTCTAAAATCACTTCTACAAGGTCAAAGAGACACCCTTCACCCTCAGTATTTTGGGAATTTATTTCCTAAAACACAGTGGGATGGGGCCCACCAAATGGAAAAAGTAACCGGATGGAGGCAAGATGTCCTTCACTGGACATGGAATCAGGCGGGCAAATCTGTAGTCTAAATACACTCTCCCATGGAATTTCCCTCTGCTGCTCAATCGGCCGGGAATCTCTTCCTCTCCCACTCTCAATCCCAACTTCTCCTAGTAAGAAATACTTCCCCCATGAAGACAGTCCTAATTTCCTATGTATTTGTTCTTTCAGCCACTCAATAAACATTAACTGAGCACCTACTCTGCACCTGGTACTCTTCTAGACACTGGGCTCCATCACGGCTTCCTTTCAGCCACCACTTGAACTTGTCTCTGCATTTACCTCTTAACTTATGCATTTATCGTACCTCATTACACTTTTCCGACTATTTCTTTTCCTGGGTCACAAGCACCTTGAAGGCAGGGACCACGGATTATTAATCTTTGCGTTTCTAGCACTTGGCACAGCAGATACTAAGAGTAGGCTCTTCATAAATATCTGCTGAATCAATGACTGAATGAATAAGGACAGACTTCGAGGAGCCTGGGCAAGGAAGTATCATGCAGCAGGGGACTCACTGTCTTCTCCTTACCCTCCTCTTTTTTTTTTTTTTTTAGATTTTATTTGTTCAGTTTTTTCCCCCCAAAGCCCCAGTAGATAGTTGTATGTCATAGGTTCACATCCTTCTAGTTGCTGTACGTGGGACTCGGCCTCACGTTGGACGGAGAAGTGGTGCCTCGGGGCGCTCCCGGGATCCGAACCCGGGCCGCCAGCATCAGAGCGCGCACTTAACCGCTAAGCCACGGAGCCGGCCCCCACT